GTTCACCGTCCGCATAGATCAGGGGTCCTCAAACTACGGCCCGCGGGCCACATGCGGCCCGCCGAGAACATTTATCCGGCCCGCCGGGTGTTTTTTCCGCCGCTGCCTGTCTGTTACTTTTTTTCTACATGAGAAGGACGGTCATTGGTGGAAGAGGGAGAGGGGGCGGAGTTCCCCCCAATCAGACTGCATTGATGGGCAGTGCAGTCTGTATGTCTCTGTGTGGGCAAAGTTATTGCTGGTATATTGTTTTTGTAGCGCTGTATATATATTGGTATTTTACTAATAGCAATTTTGACTCCCTAGGAAACAATGATGTCAAGAAAGAGAAAAATTGACTCGGAGTGTAGGATATTCAAAGAACAGTGGACTTATGATTACTTTTTCATGCAGTACAAGGAAAGAGCTGTGTGTCTGATATGCCAGAATATAGTGTCTGTGTTCAAAGAATACAATTTACATCGACACTATGAAACTCAACATAAAGATAAATATGATTGTTTGGTCGGAGAAGTGAGAAAAGATAAAATATTAAAACTGAGAAATACATTAGCAACTCAGCAAAATACTTTTGTAAAGCAGAAGCAGCTAAATATTTCATCACTGCAAGCAAGTTTTCAAGTTGCCAAGCTAATAGCGTGCACTGGCAGACCATTCGTGGAGGGAGAATTTGTTAAAGAATGCCTTCTTTCTGTTGCCAAAGAGATGTGTCCAGAGAAGGCCGATTTATTTAGTACAGTGAGTCTTTCAGGACCTACAATTACACGGAGGATTGAAGAAATGGGAGACAATTTGCATCAGCATTTGCAAAACTCCACAAAAAAACTTTCCTATTTTTCCTTGGCACTCGACGAAAGCAATGATGTTCGTGATTCTGCACAACTTCTAATTTTTATTCGTGGGACGAATGACTATTTCGAAGTCACAGAAGAGCTTGCTGCACTTGCAAAGCATCAAAGGAACAACTATAGGAGAGGATATCTTTCGATTTAAAGCTTTCGTGCCTGCAGGGATTCATCTTCTTGGTTCTTTCGGTAAAGTCACATAGAAGGGAAGTAATAAAATAATAAAAGTAAAAGATAATAAAATAATTCTCACGACGTTTCGGTCACAACGCAAGCAGCCGTCCTCAGGTGAAAACCAGGTCTGTTGGGGAGACAGCGTCTGAATGAAACAGCACACGAGCTTGGAGCATATATAAGCTGGGTTGGAAACGGGGGAAAGAGCGCCTTGACAAAATAATTTGCATATCAAGAGGAATTTAGCATATGTATGGGAAATGCAGGAATGTTATTAGTACTACATATGCAGCACGGGCTTATGTAGTACTAATCACATTCCTGCATTTCCCATACATATGCTAAATTCCTCTTGATATGCTAATTATTTTGTCAAGGCGCTCTTTCCCCCGTTTCCAACCCAGCTTATATATGCTCCAAGCTCGTGTGCTGTTTCATTCAGACGCTGTCTCCCCGACAGACCTGGTTTTCACCTGAGGATGGCTGCTTGCGTTGTGGCCGAAACGTCGTGAGAATTATTTTATTATGTTTTATTTTTATTATTTTATTACTTTCCTTCTACGTGACTTTACCGAAAGAACCAAGAAGAGAGGATATCTATGAAAAGGTTTGCCAAACTGTGAATGGTTTGGAGCTGAACTGGGCTAAACTAGCCAGTGTGACAACTGATGGTGCTCCTAGCATGGTGGGGTCTAAGAAAGGAGTAATTTCTCGCATTAACCAAGAGATGGACAAACATAACCATTCTCATCCAATAGCCATACACTGCCTCATCCACCAACAAGCGCTGTGTAGTAAATCACTGAAGTGGGACTCTGTTATGAAATTTGTGGTATCTTGTGTTAACTTCATTAGAGCTCATGCACTAAACCACAGACAATTTCAGGAATTTCTGTTTGAGCTAAATGTTGACTATGAAGATGTTCTGTATCACACAGAAGTCCGTTGGCTGAGTCGAGGGAGAGTTTTGAAACGTTTCTATGACTTACTTCCACAGATTACAGCTTTTCTGCTTTAAAAAAACAAAGAAGTACCAGAGCTCAATGATGCAGAATGGAAATGGCACCTTGCCTTTCTGACAGATGTAACAGAGCTACTCAACAGTTTCAATGTGCAACTTCAAGGAAAGGGGAAGCTCATCTGTGATATGCAATCACATGTCAAAGCATTTGAAGTAAAATTAGGCCTCATCAAACAAGTGAAGGAGGAAAACTTCTGCCATCTCCCCACAACTCAAAATCTGTTAGCGGAAAAACCATTGGTTGCATTCCCAAACAAAACATGTGTGGATTCACTGGAAAAATTGCAAAAGGAGTTACAATTTGGATTTAAAGAGCTTCATCTCCATGAACAGGACATACAGCTTTTCCGTAACCCATTTTCTATTGACATTGAAAATGTGGATACAATTTACCAAATGGAACTGGCTGAACTGCAGAATTGTGACTCTCTAAAAGACGCATTCAAGTCAAGCAGCCTTCATAATTTCTATGCATCTCTCCCCTCTGAGACATATCCTCATCTCAGGAACCATGCACTCAAAATGGTAACCATCTTTGGCAGCACTTATGTCTGTGAACAAATTTTTTCCAGAATGAAACATTTGAAATCTCCAACCAGATCTAGACTAACGGATGCACACTTGCATCACTTGTTACGACTAGCAGTGACAAATATGGAACCGGACATTGACCATCTCATTAGCCAAAAGCAGGCCCATAGTTCCCATTGAAATACTGGCAAGTTTGTTGATTTAACTTTACTTGTTCTTCATTTTAAATATTGTATTTGTTCCCGTTTTGTTTCTTCACTTCAAAATAAGATATATGCAGTGTGCATAGGAATTTGTTCATAGTTTTTTTTTACTATAGTCCGGCCCTCCAACGGTCTGAGGGACAGTGAACTGGCCCCCTGTTTAAAAAGTTTGAGGACCCCTGGCATAGATCATGCGGCGCTGCAGTATGCTTTGCGGGTTCAACAGCCATCGGGACAATTGTCTCGATGGTTGGAAATCCTTCAGGATTTCGATTTTGCGACTACCTATCGTAAGGGCACTCGCCACACCAATGCGGACGCTCTGTCCCGGTTACCACCCACTTCTGAGTGCGCTTGCCTGCTGGGTTCGTGGCGTTGCAGACCTCCGAATGTCAGCTCTAATTCGGTTTTAGCAGCCGCCGCCGATGCGCCTTCCGTTGCCGGTCCTATCGAGCAAGAAGGGAGGGATTCCTTGCTGGGGTTGTCGGTTGCGGAGTGGGGGCGCCTCCAAATGGAGGACACCTCCCTCCTCGCTTTGCGCCGTCGCGTCGGGGGAATCGTGTGGGGGGGTGAAAATGTCGACGCGTGGTCAGAACTAGAATGAACGGAGGGAGAGGCCACGCTGAAGCGGGGTCCAGGCTGCCACGTGGCCGCGCGTGTCTCTCTCTCTCTATCCCTCTCACGCTGCCTGTCAGCAGCGTGGAGGAGTGTTGTAATGAAAGACAAATAAAGACCGGATTCCAGAAGTCGCTTCTACGACCTTTATTACAATAGCAATGATGTAAATTATTTCCAGATAAAAAGACTCACAGGATCCTCCCCGAATATGGTTTGGCACCACAGTCCTGCCCAACTGAGTGCCCGGAGAAAATCCACCACAGTTACGAGGTGGTGCCACTCAGCACCGTCATCTCCTGACCATCTCTGGCATCCCCATGCCAACAACACCTGGTGGTGGTACCTGGTGGTCACTCATCCAACTACCGACCAGGCTCAATGCTGCTTAGCTTTTTAGGCAACGATCACAATTATTCCGACACTTATTAATTATCTACACTATGGGAACCTCATTTGCCAATAAAAATATGATAATTGTTTTTTTACCCTTCTATCTGGCAACAAAACCTGCAGTCATAATACAAACAAAAGACATAACTCTGATAATGTGCACTGTCCTTGAAGTTGATTGGTCCACACCTTTTGGCGTCATCTGGTCCAACCCATGTGAGACTAGGCTCTAAGGAAAGCTGTCTCGGGTGTGGACCAATCAACTTCAAGGACAGTGCACATTATCAGAGTTATGTCTTTTGTTTGTATTATGACTGCAGGTATTGTGGTCTATGCAAACATGACTCCTTGTAAAAAGGTGTCAGTTTTGTTGCCAGATAGAAGGGTAAATAACCAATTATCAACTTATTAATTAGTCGCAACAAATTAAACATTATTTGAATGTTTGGCTGAAAATCAGAGGATCTCCTGGTGATCACTGGCATGCTGTATGAGGGGATGGACCTTTGACTCTGTCGTGAATATGTTTTAACACGATTCCAAGGACTCTTTTAGGACAAAGTTGACCTCATGGAGGGCCAGTAAACGTTCCAAAACCGGTGTACATGGCCGGGAATAAATCCCAAGTTGTGATAAGCACTACTACTCATTCGGACGCTGTCTTTCCGACAGACCTGTTCTTCACCTGAGGACGGCTGCTTGCGTTGTGGCCGAAACGTCGTGAGAATTTAATATTTTATTTTTATTATTTTATTATTTCCCTTCTACGAGACTTTACCGAAAGAACCAATAAGATGAATCCCTGCAGTCACGAAAGCTTTAAATCGAAATCTTAAAGTGACTATGTGACTATGTGCAAACTGAAAATCCAGGGGAAAAAACAGCAAAAATTCCAGAAAAAAATGCACCGTACACACCAACACTGTGTAGAAAAATCCCAGTGGGATGCAAGTCAAACAACAACAACCAAAAGACAAATTTAGATTAAGGCCATCAGTCTAACTCCGTACTACAAGAAACAAACATGGCCAAATCAAAAAACTTTTCGAAATCATCAAAATAAAGCCATTAAAGCAATGAAACAGTGATCATAGGAACTGTGACCGAATTTTCACAATAAACGACATAAACAACACCAAACCCTGCAGCCATAACTGGCTGCATGAGCCTGCACTCATACAGTACCAATATCCGTAGGTGGTCATTTTGTTTTCTTACCCCTTCAGGTGGTGAGGCAATCCAGCCAGGCTCCCCCAGTGCGCTCTTTGAGTCGAGGATATTGACTGCAGGAGACAAGGCGCAACATTCAGCCCCGAACAGCTGGTCGTCACAACGTGGGGATGTGCAGAGCCGCGAGGCCGGGGAGACACATCAAGTCAAACACAATGAGAGTCACATGTTTTTACTGGTAGGAACCTCTTGGTTACACCAGCCCACAGGAGATTATTGTGTCCGCCGTGCAAAGAGGGGCTGGGTAGGGGCTGGGTGGGGAAGGGCTGGGTGGGTAGGGGCTGGGTGGGGAGGGGCTGGGTAGGGAGGGTGGGGCTGGGTGGGGAGGTGCTGGGTGGGTAGGGGCTGGGTGGGGAGGGGCTGGGTGGGTAGGGGCTGGGTGGGGAGGGGCTGGGTGGGGAAGGTGGGGCTGGGTGGGGCTGGGTGGGTAGGGGTTGGGAGGGTAGGGGCTGGGTGGGGAGGGGCTGGGTGGGGAAGTTGGGGCTGGGTGGGGAAGGTGGGGCTGGGTGGGGAGGGGCTGGGTGGGTAGGGGTTGGGAGGGTAGGGGCTGGGTGGGGAGGGGCTGGGTGGGGAAGGTGGGGCTGGGTGGGGAGGGTGGGGCTGGGAGGGTTGGGGCTGGGTGGGAAAAGGCTGGTCACCCCGTGGTGCCCTTATCAACGTTGAACCTACTCACACCGGCTTGTGCCCGCCCTCACAGTCGGGCATATTTGCGGAATACACCACGCCGCCGTTGACCCTGCAGGCCATTGAGCGAGCAACCCGACGTTCCTACCAGCTCCCTCCGCAGCAGCAGGACGATGTGTTTGTTGGTGAAGTGTGCGAGTGAACACTCTGCGACAGCAATGGCACAATGGCCATGCATTTTCCCCGACTCTACTCAAGGTAAACCAAGCGAGTGGGGTCATCTGTCAGAGAATACCAATGGGAAATGTCGTTGTATCGCTGACATCGTATTCTCTGGATTATAAGACCCCCCCCCTGCCCCCTGCATATTTACAATTTCTTATTTTCAGTAGCATTTTATATTCTCGAGAATACGGTGTTAATATACAAAATGAGGCTAAAATGTGAAGTATTTTATTTTCCATCATTGACATGAAACTTTTTTTATCTCACTGAACCAGTTATCTGCTTACAGGCACATTGGACTCAACACAAACTCCCTCTGCAACTACCGTGGATGGGCCCTACCAGGCTCCAGGAGACAACTTGAAATTCCAAAAAGGCCCCGTGGATGTTGTTGAAATCGTAGAGGGATTTCTCTTCGTAATGTTTTGCCTCCGAAACGTCGTGAATTATTATTTTATTTCTATTATTTTTTTATTTTTCACCTACGTGACTTTACCGAAAAAGCCTAAGAATATGAATCCTTGCAGTCACGAAAGCTTCACATCTAGAATATATCAATTCAAGTTTAAAAGTTCATGTACTAGGTGTAGCCCTGTGAACCATTCGGCTATTGAATCGGGTGCAATCGCAAAAAACAAAAAAACTAAAACATGAACAAAAAACATCTCAAAGTGAATATGTAACTGAGTGCAAACAGAAAATCCAAGAAAAGACAGCAAAATATTACAGAAAAAGCACCGTACACCAACGCTGTGTGCAAACATCCCAGTGGGATGCAAGTCAAACAACAACCACAAGACAGCTTAGATTAAGGCCATCAGTCTAACTCTGTACTACAACAAACAAACATGGCCAAACCAATACACTTTTCGAAAATCACCAAAATCAAGCCATGAAAGCAATGAAACAGTGATCACAGGAACTGTGACCGAACTTTCCACAACAAACGACGTAAACAACACGTACAGAAGTTGGCGGTGTCTCTCTCTCCTCTCTCTCTCTCCACGTGCCCCGTCACATTCACGATGAAAGACGCGGAGCCGGCAAAGAGCGATGATGCTTGAGCCCCCCACCCCACCCCGCCCCCCACTCGCCTCGTTACCTTCGTGAGCGACGCAGACGGCGAGGAGAGACCCCAGAAAACTGGCGCTTTGCAGGAGCGTGGAGGAGACGGATCCAGGCGCCATGAGGCTGATGGATCGTGGTGCTGGTGGATTGTGGAGCTGGTGGATCATGATGCTGGTGGATTGTGGAGCTGGTGGATCGTGGTGCTGATGGATCGTGGAGCTGGTGGATTGTGGAGCTGGTGGATTGTGGAGCTGGTGGATTGTGGAGCTGGTAGATTGTGGTGCTGGTAGATTGTGGTGCTGGTAGATCGCGGTGCTGGTGGATCATGATGCTGATGGATCGTGGAGCTGGTGGATCGTGGAGCTGGTGGATCGTGGTGCTGGTGGATCGTGGATCGTGATGCTGGTAGATCGTAGAGCTGGTGAATCGTGGATCGTGCTGGTGGTGAATAGTGACAACACTGTAACAAAAGCATGTTTTTTTGTCCTTGGGTAGTGAGTAATATTTTCTAATTGCTAATGCCTCAAAAGTACAGAAAGTGGGTTACTATTATTCCCCACAAACTTTGCTTTTGTGACCAGGACACACAAAGTCCTGGTCACAAAAGCAAAGTTTGTGGGGAATGATAATTGCCACTTTCTATCCATTTTAGGCATAGCCAATTAAAACATAACACTACCCGGGGACAAACATCGTGTTGCAGTTTTGATTTAAAGCTTTCGTGACTGCAGGGATTCACATTCTTTGTTCTTTCGGTAAAGTCACGTAGAAGGGAAATAATAAAATAATAAAACATGAACCAATATTTTTTATATTTTTTATATTATATTTATTATATATTTATGTTATTGTTTACGACACACTTAGGGGCCGTCCATAAATGACGTCACGCACCTGGGGGGGTCAGACATTTGTGACGATGTGTGATGAGGAGGAGGGGGGAGTGAGAAATGTGACGTCACATCAAAATGCGCAACTTTAAATGAATATGGGATTGTTATAACAACACTAATTGTCATGACAACTCTCCTACAACATCAGAGTGCAGCGCCACATTAAATATGCACAATGACAATGACAACAGTTTAAAGCCATTTGAAACATTTTTTTTCAAAATGGAGGGGGGGGGGCAGAGCTTTGTGACGTCATATTTGAGGTGGGGGGGGTCTGACTTTTTGTGACGCCGTGTGACGAGGGGGGAGGGTCAAAAATCGTCCAAAATCGCGTGACGTCATTTATGGACGGCCCCTTAGGCACCATACTGTTCTTACGTGAGCATAGAAAATCCCATGGCGTCACTTGTTGTCGACCACGTGGTGTTCCGGCCAGGCGCTAGAGGCGTCACCCCATTGGTGGATGACGACACAGACCTCGCCTCGGGTATAAAGACCCTCCCCCACTCGGCCACGTGATTCAGATGCTTGGAGCGGCAGTGGAGCTGAGCACAAACATCACCCAGCAGTGCAGAGTGGAGCTGGGGACGACTTCTGTAAGTGGTAGATGAGGCATTCACTCGAGGCTGTGTTGTCAGATACGTGTTGTTGTAGTTGAGTATAACATTTATTAAGTATTTTTTTTCATTCTTCACCTGAGGACGGCTGCTTGCGTTGTGGCCGAAACGTCGTGAGAATTATTTTATTATGTTTTATTTTTATTATTTCCCTTCTACGTGACTTTACCGAAAGAACCAAGAAGATGAATCCCTGCAGTCACGAAAGCTTTAAATCGAAATGTATTAAATAACACATCTGGGTCGTTTGTTAGCCCATTACTCTATAATAAAGGGGGGTATTTTGGTTTAGATTGCATTACCTTTTATGGATGATGTTGATATAGCGAAAACATACGTGTTAAACTCACCCACTAATAGCTCACATTTTTTGCAGAGGTTTTTTAAAAATGTATATTAAATATTAGAATACTCTTAGTTCTTTCGGTAAAGTCACGTAGGTAAAAAATTTAAATTTAAATGTAAAAAAAATAAAATAATAAAAATCACGACGTTTCGGAGGCAACACAAGTCTCCGTCATCAGGTGGGACCGTCGTGATTTTTATTTTATTTTTTATAAATTTTAATTTCATTTTTTACCAAAGTTCCTGTACCTGACACCATGGCAATCATTGAAGACTTGGTTCATCAAGGACTGAATGCTGGGGTACCCCCCCTGGTGAGACACTGCTTAACCAATACATACTTCACCTGGAATGGAACTTTCTACAAGCAAACTGAGGGCACCCCGATGGGCTCCCCCCTATCTCCGGTTGTAGCCAACATCTTCATGGAGAAATTTGAGACTGACGCCATCCAGACTGCCACTCTACGCCCGACCTTATGGAAGAGGTACGTAGATGACACTTTTGTCATCTGGCCACATGGCCGGCCTGCTCTAAACCAATTTCTCGACCACATCAATTCCATACACCCAGCCATCAGATTCACCATGGAAGTCGAAAAAGATGGCAAGCTACCCTTTTTGGATGTCCTAATTAAAAGGAGACCTGATGGTTCAATGAGCCACTCTGTCTACAGGAAAGCCACCCATACGGATGCTTACCTAAAACCGGATTCCCACCACCATCCATCCCAGAAGAATTCCCTCATCAAGACTCTATACCATAGAGCCCAATGTATTTCCGACCAGGATCACATTGCCAGTGAACTCAAACACGTACGCCAAGCTCCTAAGGCTAATGGTTACTCCGACTACACAATCCGCAAGGCAATCACTCCAACCATCAAGAAGAATCCTGTTGAGGAGCCTTTCAAGACCATCACCTTACCCTACATTGCTGGGGTCACAAAAAAGATCTCCAAAATCCTGATTAAACACAAGATCCAGGTCCGATTCAACACAGTACATAAAATCCATGATCTGGTCCCGTCTGTAAAACATGCGGTTCCAGACATACAGTACCCTGGCGTCTACAAACTAAGTTTCCTCTGTGGTAGCAGTTACATTGGAGAAACCAAACGACATGTCTCGGACCGCATCCATGAACATAAAGCAGACCTGAAACACGGTAGGACAAACACCTCAGCCGTGGCAGATCACTGTTACAATTCAGTGGGCTCACATGACATTGACTTCTCCAAGACAGAGGTTATCTGCAAGCCAACTGGCTATCATGAGAGATTCGTTCATGAGGCTATCCACATATACAAACACAGAGACAATTTCAACCGAGAAGATGGATTCTGGCTTAGCAATCATTGGAAGGACGTAATAAACCATTTCGGATCTTAACTGATTGTGTTCACATTTACAGTGACTTTCAGACCGCGTTCCACTCACTGGCATTGTATTCTCCGCAGGGATTGGATTCTTTGCTCCGCTGCAAGTTTTCCCCCCCACTATTCACCCATTGACACGACGGTCAATGGTACAGTGTATAATAACAAATAGTATAACATTTATATGCTTAATACAATGTACAAAGTAATATATAGTATCGTAATTTTATAGTAAATATATAGCATTGTGATACACTTTAAGGTGGGTAGAATAATACATAGTGTTACATTAAAACGACGTAAAATTGTAATATATTACTTACTGTTAGTAACTCAGCTTATTGTAGAGTATAGTAAGTATACTAATGATGCTATGTAGTTTATACTTTAGTTGTTCATGCAGTTTACACTTTAGTTTTTTTTACGTTGTTGTTTAACTGCAGCTACATACTATTAACATTCCTTTCCTTTGTTAATGCTACCCCCCTTCCCCCTCCCTTTGATGCTGCTAATCCTGCATAATGCACGGGCATAATATTAACTTGAAACCCCTCCATCCACCTCCTACGCATTTTTCATATGCTAAATTCCTCTTGATATGCAAATTATGTTGTTAAGGCGCTCTTCTTCCCACCTCCCCCCCTCCAACCCAGCTTATATATACGCTCCTAGCTTGGTGGTGTTTCATTCTTCACCTGAGGACGGCTGCTTGCGTTGTGGCCGAAACGTCGTGAGAATTATATTATTTTGTTATGTTTTGTTTTTATTATTTTATTACTTCCCTTCTACGTGACTTTACCGAAAGAACCGAGAAGATGAATCCCTGCAGTCACGAAAGCTTTAAATCGAAATTTAACCGCCTCTACGGGGAGGATTTCCACATAACTTTGAGATCCTTCAACAAGCTCCGGGATAAGAAGGCTCAGCTAATCGAGTCTCTCACCTTTCTGAAGAGATGCCGCGACTCTAAGGTAATACCAAACGCATTTACACTAACATCTGCTGCTGTAACTTCTTCTAATGCTAAACGAATTCTGTCTAGAACTAGCTTAGCTCTTATCTCAGAGAAAATCAGACTTACGCGCACCGATCTAGATCAGTTAGACAAGACACTCTACAAATCACACTTATCTTTGAGTGCAACAATGTCCGCATCGGATTGGGAACATGTAGAAAAAATGACTGCCTCGTCAGCTGCCGCTATGTCGACCAAATGTAAGGACAACTTGATTTCCAAATTCAACCGCCTCTCAAACAAGGAACCGGACCCACACATTAAAAAGCTAGATGTTAACAAAGTCGTAATTAATCGCAGTAACAGTTCTATTTCTGAAGGTCTGAAATCCGTTTTAGCTAAAGGACTAAACTTTGCAGTCACACCTAGACACATACCAGTTAATGATATAATTGCTAGAGTAGATGTAGCTCTCAAGGGCCTGAGTCCCATCGCTGCAGACGTAGCAAGATCTGAAATCTCTGCAACTCTCAAAAATGCAAAGATGCCAGCTAGCAACATCAGCAAAGATGAGCGTTATGAATTAGCTCAATTAAAAAAGAGGGATGACATTGTCATCCTCTCAGCCGACAAAGGCAATGCCACTGTCATCATGGACAAAACAGAATACAACAACAAAATCCAAGAACTACTCAACGATGGCAGCTATACAAAAATAAAAAGAGACCCCACCAACAGCCTCGTCTCTAAAACCAAGCAAATCATTTCTGATTCAACCGCATTAATTGATCAGACCAAACAGTTCTCGTTGAAACCTTCTGCAGCCAGGCCACCAAGATTATACGGCTTGCCAAATATACATAAAGATACACCTCTTCGTCCCATTGTCTCTACTATCAACTCCCCCACCTATAAACTGGCTCGTTTTTTGTCTGAAATCCTACGGCCTTTCACTGGAAAAACCACCTCTGCGGTACTAAACTCTACTGACCTGGTATCGACAATCAAGGGGATTGCCCTGTCCCCAGACGACCTGCTTATCAGTTTTGATGTGGTTTCCTTATTCACCAAAGTTCCTGTACCTGACACCATCGCAATCATTGAAGACTTGGTCCATCAAGGACTGAATGCTGGGGTACCCCCCTGGTGAGACACTGCTTAACCAATACATACTTCACCTGGAATGGAACTTTCTACAAGCAAACTGAGGGCACCCCAATGGGCTCCCCCCTATCTCCGGTTGTAGCCAACATCTTCATGGAGAAATTTGAGACTGACGCCATCCAGACTGCCACTCTACGCCCGACCTTATGAAAGATGTACGTAGATGACACTTTTGTCATCTGGCCACATGGCCGACCTGCTCTAAACCAATTTCTCGACCACATCAATTCCATACACCCAGCCATCAGATTTACCACGGAAGTCCAAAAAGATGGCAAGCTACCCTTTTTGGATGTCCTAATTAAAAGGAGACCTGATGGTTCAATGAGCCACTCTGTCTACAGGAAAGCCACCCATATGGATGCTTACCTAAAACCGGATTCCCACCACAATCCATCCCCAGAAGAATTCCCTCATCAAGACTCTATACCATAGAGCCCAATGCATTTCCGACCAGGATCACATTGCCAGTGAACTCAAACACGTACACCAAGCTCTTAAGGCTAATGGTTACTCCGACTACACAATCCGCAAGGCCATCACTCCAACCATCAAGAAGAATCCTGTTGAGGAGCCTTTCAAGACCATCACCTTACCCTACATTGCTGGGGTCACAAAAAAGATCTCCAAAATCCTGATTAAACACAAGATCCAGGTCCGATTCAACACAGTACATAAAATCCATGATCTGGTCCCGTCTGTAAAAGATGTGGTTCCAGACATAAAGTACCCTGGCGTCTACAAACTAAGTTGCCTCTGTGGTAGCAGTTACATTGGAGAAACCAAACGACATGTCTCGGACCGCATCCATGAACATAAAGCAGACCTGAAACACGGTAGGACAAACACCTCAGCCGTGGCAGATCACTGTTACAATTCAGTGGGCTCACATGACATTGACTTCTCCAAGACAGAGGTTGTCTGCAAGCCAACTGGCTATCATGAGACATTCGTTCATGAGGCTATCCACATATACAAACACAGAGACAATTTCAACCGAGAAGATGGATTCTGGCTTAGCAATCATTGGAAGGACGTAATAAACCATTTAGGATCTTAACTGATTGTGTTCACATTTACGGTGACTTTCAGACTGCGTTCCACTCACTGGCATTGTATTCTCCGCAGGGAATGGATTCTTTGCTCCGCTGCAAGTTTTCCCCCCCACTATTCACCCATTGACACGACGGTCAATGGTACAGTGTATAATAACAAATAGTATAACATTTATATGCTTAATAGCTCAACGAAGTGGCTCATTGTCACGTGGAGATTTATAGCAGCCAAACACTCTGAACGCGTTGATGTTGATTCTAAATGTGGAGGGAAACACCAAAGAACACGAAGAAGAATCCACACAACCAGAGAGAACACTCCAAATATACAGCAGGCATCAGGGTTGATTTCGAACCCATGCCCCAATTTAAGAGTTTTACTCTTACGAGGTCACCCTGAGTGAAGTTGCTGCACACAGAAAACAAGACGAGGCGGTGATGGGAGCGACTTGAGAGCCCTGCGTCGTTTAGACGATTAGTGCCACGAAGAAAAACTGCCCACGGCGATGGATAACAATCGTCTGTAGTTGGCCTCATGCGGCTGTGTGCCTTGTGAAGTGAAGCCACAGGCCACAGATGGGTCCTACCTCTGGTTCAAAAGGTATTCCTACCCTCTGGTCAGTTTTGAACGAGCAGCTGGATTTAATCACTCACTCTGAATGGAATTACACTGTCCTGTGCGATAGACTTGTCCCCGCCATAGGAAGGTGGAATTCCCACCGCTGGCTCAGGGTTGTAAGCGGGAGATGAGCGCACATGCCTCAACGCTCTTTCTGAGCAGGAAAATCACTTTTGAGTCGTTGTGACGAATGTGAATGCAATAGCGAGTGTCTGTTGACAACCAACTAAACTCCCTTCTCTATGCTTGCAAATTGTGCACCGCTCTAATGGAATATCTGTGCTGGTTTGAAACATGCAGGCTGGCCTGCTTACAATCGATGTTGGGTTTAACCAGGCTGGATTGTGTGAGGAGCTCACAGATCCTTGAAAGATCCGGACACAGTCCCGTCGCTGAGCTCCTCCGGCAGGCAAGGCTCCATTGGCTGGGTCATGTAGCCCGCATGCCCAGCCACCTCGTACCCAAATCCATGCGACCACAGGGAAAGCGACACCGCAAACTGCAAATATACAGGCATTGTCGGGGTCAGGATCGAACCCACGACCTCCTGTACACCAGGTGAGGTAGTTAACATCTCACCACGGAGAGAGAGAGAGAGACAAGCAAACCCCAAATATACAACAGCAGGCATCAGGGTCGGAATCGAACCAACGACCTGCTGTATACCAGGCGAGGTGGTCAACATCTCACCACGGAGAGAGACACGCAAACCCCAAATATACAGCAACAGGCGTCAGGGTCGGGATCGAACCCACGACCTCCCCCCACTCCTCCAACCCACCCCCACGCCGCCGCCTCACCCTTCCGCTCACCTGCAGTGGGATCCAGCGGGGCGAAGTGCAGCGTGTAGCGCAGCACGTGGTGGTTGTTCCACACGTAGAGGGCGCCGTCGTGCGGGTTGTACTGCACCGACGTGATGAACTGGAACGGGTTGGGGAACGGGATGGAGACGCGTGCATCCCGTCGCGAGTTGGTGTCGTACACGTAATCGATGCGGTCGCTCGTCCCCCCCCCCACCCCTCCTCCTCCTGCGGTGCCGTTCGCCGCTCCGTCGCCGTCATCCTCGTAAGTGGAGCGCAGGACGTAGAGGACGCCGCACGCCATGAAGGCGTCGGAGGCCGAGCGCTTGTCGTAGGCCGTCTCAAAGGAGGCCTCGACGCGCAGCGTGTACGGGTTGAAGCGGCTCACTACCACGCGCCCCTCGTTCTGCTCCGTGGCGTAGATGACCCACAGGCCGTTCTCGTCGGCCGCCAGGTCGATGTCGGACTTGCCGCCCCAGCGGTAGGGCGACGTGTCGTAGTAGTTGGCGTTGGGGACGACCGCCTCGCCGCTCTTGACACGCGTGCCCAGGTCGAACTTGACGATTCTGCGCGTTCGCTCCTGCGAGGGGGAGGTCAGGTGAGCGTGTGTGTGTGTGTCGGAGAGGTGGGTGAGTGTGTGAGGGAGAGGGAGGGAGAGGCGGTGGGGAGAGGAAAGGTGAGAGTGAGAGAGGAGAGTGGGAGTGTGTGCGTGTATGAGTGGGTGAAGGTGTGAGTGTGAAACATCCGGGCGTGGTGGTGTTGGCCACAGCACCCCCTCGTACGCTGCGCCGGCCATCATAGGTGCTGCTCAATGGCCCGCGATCACAAATCACTATTTAACTCGATCAAAAAGTAACCTGCAGCGCCACACCTATTACCATCGTTAGGGGAAAGAACGATGATCCAATCTCAGACCCCCAGGAACAGGTTTGCAGATTTGCTGAGCATTTCTGAGGTCATGGAGGAGGGGAAATCCCTCAGCCTGGAAAACATCATGGGACAAAGTGCGGATGACCTTGCTGAGGCTGCGGTGCCTCAAATATTGGAGGAGGAATTCACCCCCTGTGAGTGGCTGGCTGAGGTGCCATCCATTGAGGAAGTACTGAAGGCGATCCAGAGTCTGAGACCAGGAAAGGCACAGATCATCTCCCAAGCGAAATGCTTAGGGAAGGTGGCGTTTGTGCACAGACTACCCTATATGACATCATAACAACAGTCGGGACCACTGGACGGATTCCGCAGGATTGGAAGGATGCCCTGGTGGTCCCCCTCTTTAAGAAGGGGGACCGCACAGACTGTAACAACTACAGGGGCATCTCACTCCTCAGTGTGCCGGGAAAGGTCTTGGCAAGGATTATTCAACATCGCCTTGCTAGGCACGCTGAGGAGAGGCTTGCGGAGCCCCAATGTGGTTTCATGAAAGGGCGGTCCTACACAGATGCCATATTTTCTGTCCGTCTACTACAGCAGAAGTGTAGGGAATTCCAACAAGACCTACATCTCTGCTTCATTGACCTGGTCAAGGCCTATGATACCATCAGTAGGCCTGGGCTCTGGGTTGTTCTTCGTGCTTTCGGAGTGCCTGACCCTCTGCTCACGCTCATTAAGGACCTTCATGATGGTGAGCTGGCCCGGGTAAAACTACGTGGCCAGGAGTCAGAGCCATTCCCTGTACACCTTGGGGTGCGACAGGGATGTCCTCTGGCTCCAACATGATTTAACATCTATTTCGACCACGTAGTTCGTGAAGCCTTCACTAGCTGTACCGGAGGAATTTCCATCTGGTACAGATACAATGGGAGGCTGATCGATGCCCGGGTGCGGTCAAGGTATAGACCCCTATTGGTCAACCATGTTATGTATGCCGATGCTCTGGTGATTGCTGCTCACTCAGAGGTGGAGTTGGAGGCACTGCTGCTGAACCTGGAACTTGCCACTAAAAGGTGGGACCTTACCATCAGCCCCACCAAAACCAAGCACCTGCCTGGGTATTTTGTACCATCGGACAATCCACTCCCATAACTCACAATCGGTGATGCGGCAGTTGTGTAGAGAGTGGAGAGTTTCCCATACCTGGCCAGTGTGCTCATGACCGGCTCCAGCTTAACAGCAGAGGTCTCACTCCAAATCAGTCGAGCGTCATTATCTTTTCATCGGCTGCATTACGCTGTGTGGAAGCTACCTGGTCTCTCGCTCCGCATGAAGCTTCAGGTCTTCTCGGCCACGGTAATTTCCTCCCTTCTCTACGCTTGCGAAACGTGCACCCCCCTAATGGAACATCTTCGCCGGTTAAAAACATTTAGGCTCCCTATTGGTCAACCACGTTATGTATGCCGACGACCTGGCAATTGCAGCTCACCACACAAAATGAGAGCTCAACCAATTGGCTTATCACGTGGCGACGTAACAGCAGCCAATCGCTCTAAATGCGCGTGGATTCTAAATCAAGTGGCCAACATCTCTCCGCCGCGCCGGGCACCGACCTTGTTAAAGAACACGGCTCCGTCGTACACCACGAAGCCCGTGCCGTCCACTCGGTGCGGCAGCTGGTAGTTGGTGAGCGGCAGCCTGGCCGCGATGTCCTGGAGGGAGGCGTATTCCACGAGCCTCTTGGTGCGGTAGGGCATCCACGGCATGAAGTACACCTTGCCGTCGGCACGCAGCGGGTCGCGGCACCACGAGCCGGCCTTCTGCTTCGCCTGCAGGAGGTGCAAGGCCTCGCCAACAAGGCGGATGCTGCCCGGGCAGGGGAAGACTGCCACGGGGAACGGACGAACGAACGGATGGACGGACAGTCGGGTCAAGCATCATTCGCGGCTGCTCCCTAGTCGATATACTATAAAAGGCCAACTGAGCTATGTAACTCTTTTGCAGAAGCAACCTCGCCGCACACAATGGCAGCTCAATGAAAGTGACTTATCACGTGGAAATGTACAGCGGTGTCCGAGTACTCGAAACACGCGACGTCGATTCTAAACGCGGAGGGAAAAACTGGAGGACCCGGAGAGCACTCCACACGACCGCGGGGGGAGAACATGCAAGCTTCCAAGTGTAATAAAAGACTCGGACGCTTCTCTCTGTCCTGTGTCCTTTATTTGGGTTCGATCTCTTTTCCCTCACGGCACTCCCCCTTACTCTTCGCTCTGCAGCCCCAGGCTGCTACCGCTCACGTAGCCCACTTCACAGCACTCCCCTATATACTCTTCGCTCGGCAGCCCCCAGGCTGCTGTCGCTCACGTAGCCCACTCCCTCCTTGCAGACCCGCTGCTGTCTCGTCGTGCAGACCCCCCCCCGCTGCTCAACTCCACCCTTGCAGACCCGCTGCTCTCTCTGCAGCCTGCTCGCTGCTCCTCCAGCCCCGGGGTCGGTCACCGCTGGCCGACGGTGCTGATCCTCGAGGTCTGTGTGTGTGGCGATCTCGCCACACTCTCTCTTCCCCACTCCACCCTGCGTGGCCTTACACTTTCCCCAGTCTCCGATCACTCCCTACTGCTTCCGGTTTCTCCCCTTATAACCCTGAACCCTGTCCCCCACGTGACGTAACTCCTCCCCCCATGATGTCACTTCCGGAAGGTCGTTTACGCCCGCATTACACCACCCTCCCCCGTAGAGAAAATCCAGCCGACCTCGGCTGAACACAACTCCAACAATAATGCGAGCGAACACGACCGTATACAAAAAAACAAAAAGGACACAGAACACACAATATTATATCGAAGAACAAGAACACAACACAATATTTAACGAAATGTGAGGGATTTTGAGCGGGTGCGGGTCGCCGGACCGTCCCGGACGGTCGGCGGCCCTCCCGCCGAACGAGAACGTGGCAGGGTCTTAAGAGCGACAGGTTGAAGTACGTCTGTCGTTATTGGAAGCCTGGCAACGTCCCGGTCCCCCAATCTTGCCGGCGCAGCATCAGGGGCGTCCCGAAATCGCGTCCGCGGCGGGGTTGGAAGGGCTGCGGGCCTCAAAGGTTCCGCAGCCGTGTTAGGCGCACCCCGAGCTGAGTCGTCTTTCCCCTGCCACGTTACAGCCGGCTCGTCTGTAAAAGGCACAACAGGCGCTCTTGCAAGGTCAGCAGGCACAGGCAAAGGCGCGTTGGCAGCAACAGACCCCGGCAAGGCAATCTCAGGAGATGACGCATCAGGTCGAGGGGCCACGTATGGTTTCAACCGAGATGTGTGGACGAACCAACGCCGAGATCCAAACCGAACACGCGCCGACTGTGGGTTGGGAACCTCAATGAGGCGAACCGGGCCCTGCCATGGTTTGTGTAACTTAGGAGAGGTACCTGGCCGCACCTATGGACAATGAAGCCAGGCCAGGTCCCCCGGTTTCCAGGGGCATTCCCCTTTTGAACGGCGCGCACACCTCTCATTCCGAGCCTGGGCTTTGGCCGTAGCCACGCGGGCCCCTTCCCGCGCCACAGTGACTCGGCGAACGGTGTCCTGAATATAGTCAGGCAGAGGCTTGGCAGGTCCCCTCATTCCGGTTCCCAACTGTTCATTAATCGGCGGTACGTTTTCACGACCGTACATAAGAAAAAACGGCGAATATCCTGTAGCCGCGTGCGGCGTCATTCGGTACGCAGAAAGCACCCCAGGGATATGCAAATCCCAATCCGATTGTTTTTCACTAACTGTATGGCACAACATGGTGGACAGAGTCCTATTTAGCCGTTCCACCATACCATCCGTTTGCGGGTGGTAGGGAGATGTCCGAATTTTCTTTGTTCCAAGAGCCGCACACACCTCCCCCAACAATTTAGACGAAAAATTCCGGCCTTGGTCCGTAAGGAGTCTCTCCGGCGCCCCCTTGTCCATAACATACCCAAAAAGAAAGGCGTCTGTGATAGACGCCGCTGACTGGTCAGGCAAGGGCCAGGCCATCGGCCAGCGGGAGAGGTACTCCACCCCTACCAGCAAATATTTATTTCCCCTAGCGGATGGCGGAAAGGGTCCCAAAATATCTAATGCCACCAACTCATTAACTCGAGACACTTGAATAGATTGTATAGGCAGCACATATGGATGTTTAGGTGGCTTACGGCGGGCACAATCGGGACACGCACGAACGTGTCCGACGACATTTGTCGTCATGCCGTGCCAATAGTAATCTCGCTGCAGCGTCAATAGGGTCTTCTGCACTCCCAGATGTAAAAGCGTGTCACAATGCAGAGTTCTAATCAATTCGTACCGCAATGATGCCGGTACAACAAGACGCCAGCGTTCCTGTATCCCTTCCCTCCACATCAGCAAGCCATCACGGAGAGCAGTTTCCGGCACACCCCCCTCTCCCTTCACTGGCCGCTTACGTAATGTCACCAAAGAATCATCCAACATTTGTTCGCGGATCCACACGGACCTCGGAAGATGTAAAATGCCATCAGCCGGTCCCCCATCAGCCGGCCCCAGCTCAAGCGGAGCTTCAGGCACCTCGACTGCCAACGCGACAGGCTGAGGGGGGTGCTGAATCGGGCCACACCTATGCGTCCCCGACGCACACGCGCAAGGGGATCGCTGCGGCAGCCTGGAAAGTGCGTCCGCATTAGCGTGACGCACTCCCTTCCGATGGTGAATTTGGAAGGAAAATTCCTGCAGCGTGTCCAACCACCGCGCCAGCTGGCCGGATGGTTGGTCCATTTTAAGCGCATACTGCAAGGCCGCGTGATCCGTGCGAACAATAAACGAACGACCGTACAAGTACGGTCGAAATTGGCGGAGAAAAAAAACAATAGCCAAAAGTTCCCTGCGTGTGACGCAATAGCGGGTCTCAGCTGGAGACAAAACCCGGCTACCATACGCCACCACGCGTTCCACACCACCCTTGGACTGAGACAACACCGCCCCAATACCCGTGTCACTCGCGTCCGTATCCAGAATAAAGGGATGTTCAAAATCCGGATAGTCCAACGTCGGCGCCGTAGCCAATAGATCGCGTAGGCTTCGAAACGCCGCCTCCTCTGGCGGTCCCCAAGCAAATTTATGTCCTTTTCCCGTAAGGAGATGCAAGGGCCTCGCGATCGTAGAAAAGTTTGGAACAAACCTCCGATAGTATGAGGCGAACCCCAAAAACCGACGCACATCCCCCACCGTGGCAGGGGTTGGCCAGTCACGGACGCACGCAGTCTTGTCCGGATCCGTGGCCACCCCATCCACACTGACGATGTGCCCCAGGTAACGCACGGAGTGTTGCAGTAGGTGACATTTCTTAGGCTTAAATTTCAAATTAGCAGAGCGCATCCTGGTGAACACAGCCTCCAACCGCGATAAATGCTCGTCAAATGTGCGGCTGAAGACGATAACATCGTCTAGATATATAAGACACGTCTCCCACTGCAACCCCGTTAATACCAACTCCATTAACCTCTGAAAAGTGGCAGGGGCCGCATTCAGCCCCATCGGAAGGCAGTTAAATTGGAATAACCCCTGCGGCGTACGGAAAGCTGTTTTTTCTCGCGAGGACTCATCAAGGGGAAGCTGCCAGAAGCCCGAAGAGAGATCTAGCGTCGAGAAAAACTTCGCCCCCGACAAGGCATCGAGAGAGTCGTCCATATGCGGCAGGGGATATGCATCTGCTACCGACACTTTATTTAATTTACTAAAATCAACACAAAATCTCAATTTGCCATCTTTCTTTTTGACCAAAACAACAGGCGCGCCCCATGGGCTGTTAGGCGGAGATATTATGTCCGCAGCCAACATGTCATCCACTGCCCCTCGAACATGCTCGCGTTCTGACGGACTCATCCGGTGCAAGTTTAACCGAATAGGGGCAGCGTCCCCTGTGTCAATATGATGGTAAAGCAACGAGGTGCGTCCCAAGTCCAAATCGTCAGAGCTAAACACGTCAGAATAGCTGAATAATAATTTACGAATCGCACAACGTTGTTCCCCGGAAAGAACCGAATTTTCCGCACACATTTAAGCGATCCAGCGATCATCTGCAGCTCCGGCCCCCGAAACACCTCCAACAACTCCCCGGCTGGACAAATTATCATGAGCTGTAAACGCAGTAGTGGCATGTGCCACAACAGTACCCGCCGGCACACACACGCTTTCGGTACTCGCGTTAAGCACTTGCAAAAACGGCTGTTGGTCTGGCCGGACAATAGTTTGTGCCCCAACCAGTGCCGATCCACCCGTAATAGCGGCGGACGGCGACAACAAAACACCAATCGCTCCTTGACGACCAGGTACAGGCTTCCGATAACGCAAGGGAATGAGTATCTGTGAGCCAGGTGGAATATCAACAGACACCTCGGACAACGCCTGCACCTGGGCGACAGGATCAGGTCGCCCCCGGGCTGACGGCAAAAACGCAATTTTTCGGCCTTCCGGTAGCTCAATGCAGCTCTCATTAATTCTAATCAGAATGGGCATTCTGGCCAGAAAATCGGTCCCTAACAAACAAGGAACCGCAAGAGACCTCGAAATTAACACAATTCCCGAGGCAGACACTCCCCCGATAGCGATGTTAGCGTTCACCTGGCCCACAATGCCCATGCTACCCCCCTTCGCGGCGATGCAGGAAGCGTAAGCTGGACTCACGGCCTCTGGTGGGATGTTCAAGAGATGAAATATTACATCAGAAATAATGGTCGCGGACGCTCCAGAATCTACCAAAATCCGCACGTCCACCCCTTGTATCGACCCAGGTACGGTGGACGAACCGGTAGCGGCCGCGACAACCCGCCGAGCCAGCTTACGCCACTGCGTTACCGAGCGACAAGGCGCAGTCGATGGCCTCCCGTTATTAACAATACCCGGATCGCACGACAACGGTGATGAATGAGGTGTCAAGCCTTGCCGGGTGTCTGGTGCGCACCGACTTGCCTGTGCTGGCGAATCCTTTCCTGGAGCGGCCGCAGTCGAGGCCTCCTGCTGGGGCGGACCCGGAACGCGGGCCCAGCAGTCCCGAGCGTAATGGCCTTTACGGCCGCAGCGGAAACAGTCGATGTCGTTACGGCGCGCTGCAGACGCCCCGTCCCGACGCGGCCGTGTCGGCGGCGCAGCCCGTGGCCCCGGCCCCCCTCGGCCCGTCCACGGAGTCGCGGCAGCCGACAGCTCCTGCGGGCCCCTGTCGTCTGGCACAAAAACTGCCTTTTTGGGGTCCCAACCCAAGGCTCCACCTTCGACGATAGGCCCCCCCGTCCACGCCGTAACCTGCTTCCACCGGCGCAGGTTGAACTGGGCATCTAGACATCTGGCCGCAGCCCGGGAGGTGAGCTTCTCATGATCACACACCGGCATAGGAATGCCGAGATCCCGGGACAGCTCCAGCATCTTTCCCAGGATGAGAGGTTCCAGCAGGTCAGGCTCCGTCTCCGGGTATGCAGCCATAGCCAGTTCTAGCACCGCGCCCCTATACGCCACCGGAGACTCCTCGGGTGCGCGCTGTCGTTGCACAAACCGGCGATGAGCATCGTCCGGTGGTTCGTAAGCGTCAGCCATTTCGGTGAATACTCCTCGCAACGTTTTCTTCTTTGCGGCTTTTATGGAGCGGAAGAATCTAACAGACTCATCATCGAGAAGAGTCGGAAGAACTTCTAATGCCTCCGCGTCAGTCCACCTCGCCGTGCGTACCGCTGCCAAAAATCTGCAGGCGAACGCGCTCCAATCTCCCCCGATGGAGAATTCTTTTACAGTCGGCAAGTGACGCCGCTGACTCATCGGGTGGCAGATTCAACATGGCGTCCCAACGTGGTGTCGACAAGATGGCGGCCTTACGCCGAGAAGAGCCCAAAATGGCGGCTTCCCGCCTTTCCTCGTGCGCCACGCCCAAGATGGCGTCCTCACGCCGCGTGGCTGATGGCGGCGACAGCGAAGACAACCCGGGCTCCTGCGGACCACCAACATCTCCTCCAGACGCCATTCCCGGCGTGACGAGCTCACACAACTGTGCAAGTACGTTCTTGAGAGTTTCAAGTTGCTCCGCCATCTGACTCCATCTTAAATCCACGTTCTTTAGTGAAGACGGGTCCGCCGACGCGACGACCTCTTGGACCCCCGGACCCGCACTCGTCCCAGCACGGATCTCCTCGTCTGTCGGAGTCAGGTCCACCGTAGGAGGAAGGTCTTCGTCGTCGGAAGAAGAAGCCGATGCCGGAGACGGAATAATCTTTTTTCTCAGTTGTTTTGCCATGCCGTTACACTTCCAACACCAGTGTAATAAAAGACTCGGACGCTTCTCTCTGTCCTGTGTCCTTTATTTGGGTTCGATCTCTTTTCCCTCACGGCACTCCCCCTTACTCTTCGCTCTGCAGCCCCAGGCTGCTATCGCTCACGTAGCCCACTTCACAGCACTCCCCTATATACTCTTCGCTCTGCAGCCCCCAGGCTGCTGTCGCTCACGTAGCCCACTCCCTCCTTGCAGACCCGCTGCTGTCTCGTCGTGCAGACCCCCCCCCCCCCCGCTGCTCAACTCCACCCTTGCAGACCCGCTGCTCTCTCTGCAGCCTCCTCGCTGCTCCTCCAGCCCCGGGGTCGGTCACCGCTGGCCGACGGTGCCGATCCTCGAGGTCTGTGTGTGTGGCGATCTCGCCACACTCTCTTCCCCACTCCGCCCTGCATGGCCTTACACTTTCCCCAGTCTCCGATCACTCCCTACTGCTTCCGGTTTCTCCCCTTATAACCCTGAACCCTGTCCCCCACGTGACGTAACTCCTCCCCCCATGACGTCACTTCCGGAAGGTCGTTTACGCCCGCATTACACAAGTATACAGGCCTCAGGGTTGGGATCGAACCCACGACCTCCTGTATAGCAGGCGAGGTAGTTAACATCTCCTAGCCACCGTGATGATGATGATGAGACACGCAGACTCCAAATATAGAGCAGGTGTCAAGGTTGGTGATCGAACCCACGACCTCCTGTGTACCAGGCGAGGTAGTTAACATCTCCTAGCCACCGTGATGATGATGAGAGACACACAATCTCCAAATATACAGCAGGCGTCAGGGTCGGGATCGAACCCACGACCTCCTGTATAGCAGGCGAGGTAGTTAACATCTCGCCACCGTTTGCATGCGTGTGTAATAAAGGTCGTTGAAGCGACTTCTGGAATCCGGTCTTTATTCACTTTTCATTACAGCACTTCCTTCACGCTGCTGACAGGCAGCGTGAGAGGGATAGAGAGAGAGAGACGCACTGCCACGTGGCAGCCTGGACCACGTGGCAGCCTGGACCACGTGGCAGCCTAGACCACGTGGCAGCCTGGACCCCCGTTTTCGCGTGGCCTCCTCCTCCGTTCGTTCCAGTTCTGACCACGTGTCGTTCGTCTCCACCCCTATTTAATACCCGGGTCACGTGGTACCTTTCCACCAATCCTGGTTAGCCTCCATGGAATCTTCCAGACTCCATCGTAGGCTCCCGGGACCACGCCCCTGACTCGTCCCCCCATTGGCTGTGGCCAAAGCCAGCAGAACCAATCCTCTACAAACAGCTGTCACCATCCCATCACGTCAGGGCCACGCCCCTAGGCTTCCCCCCATTGGCTATGGACCAGGACCGGTAGAGCCAATCATCGTGACGAGTTGTAATCCGTCAACGACCCGGATATAACCTCACGTGACACGTGTACTGATGGGTGTGTGTCAACATAGGTGCCGTCTGTGTCGCAGCAGAGCCTGACGAAGCCGAATGTCCACAGGGAACGATCGCGATTCTTAAACACACACGTGGCATGTGCATCGGGGGCTTATTGTGTGTGGCATAAATCGACAGATTCATCGTCGCACGTCGGTTAAACACTTGGCTGAAATGAAAGCGTCGTGAACACAGGCCATTCAGCTTTTGCACAGAAACAACGGGCATGCAGAGGATTGTGGGGTTTCCCAGGATGCGCTGAGGCCTAGCCTAAACGAATTTCAACCGAAGGTGTTGTTACTGGGATTGCCGCAAAATATTTTTTCACGATACGACATCAAATTTCACAATAGGACGATTTTCCAATAACGTTGTAGTACTCGTATTTAGCGTGTTAGTTCTATTGTAATCAATGCAGTCTATAAGGCTCATGAACGCACAGCGCTGACAGTTACGCCAGAAATGCGGTCAACAATTACACGAAACAAGACAATGACGATGTCACATAATCGCCATGCTGTCAATTAACGCCGAAAACTGTTAGGAAAGCGTTGATTCGATTTCATAATAAATATTTATTTACAACCTGCATAACTTTTGGTGAGCGCACACAATTGAATTCTTTGGTTTTATCAGCTGTGTCTCAAGCTAAGCGTGGTACATATGTTTGTGTGTTTCGTAATCACACCGAATATCTTCCAGTCCGCAGGTGCAAACAAAAAAATGTACGGGTCAGTGGTGGACTGCGATTAGCACGCTGAGCTTTGAACCCGGTAACCCGAGTTAAATTCGTGCTCACGCCCAACATCAGTGACGATTGTTTAAACCCGTCATGGGCCTCCCCTCGGTTGCCTGGTGCAGTGCGTAAACATCGCTAGCACTGGGGAGACAAAGACGGCCGGGCGTGGTGCTGGCCACTCACACCCCCTCATGTGCCGTACCAGCCTTCATCGGTGCTTGCCCCGACAGCCTGTCAAAGGGCGTTACGGGGGGGGCGATCTTTGCCCGCGTGTGCATCCGTGCGTGTGTGTGCGTGTGTGCGTGCGTGTGTGTGCGTGTGCGTGCATGTGCGTGCGTGTGTGTGCATGTGCGTGTGCGCGCTCCGCAAGTACTCACTGTAGGGGACGCACTTGTACCAAACCTCCAGGTACTTGTACGTCCCGGGACAGGGGTCCGCAAACAGCTCGTTGCCAGCGACGACGTGGCACCACGTCCTGTTGTTGCACCTGCGGGGGGGGGGGCAGGGGGAGCGGAGCGGCGTAGAGAGGAAGAGGAGGGGGGGTAACGAGCACGCGCGTTAACCCCCCCCGCCCACACAAAACAAAAGACAAAGATCCCCCGTGTAGCCTGTAACAGACTGTTGGGGCAAGTGCTGTTAGCCAGCACCTATGAAGGCCAGCACGGCACACGAGGGGGTGGGTGGCCAACACCACGCCCTTTGTCTCCCTAGTGGCGATGTTTACACATTGCACCAAGGCTGAGTCGACCTAGGAGAGGCCCGGGACCATTTCAGATAATCGTCACTGGTGCTGGCCGTGAGCGGGAATTGAACCCAGTTCGCCAGGTTCATAGCGCAGCGCGCTAACCGCTACACTGCCGCTCCCTCCACACACACAGACACACACACACAGACACACACACACAGACACACACACACAGACACACACAGACAGACACACACAGACACACACACAGACAGACCCACACACAGACACACACACAGACGCACACACAGACACACACACAGACACAAACAAAGATCCCCCGTATAGCCTTAACAGACTGTAGGGGCAAGTGCTGTTAGCGAGCACCTATGAAGGCCAGAACGGCACACGAGGGGGTGGGTGGCCAGCACCACGCCCGACCGCCTTTGTCTCCCTAGTGGCGATGTTTACACACCGCACCAGGTACTCATTTCAGGCTGAGTCGACCTAGGGGAGGCCCAGGACCGGTTCAGATAATCGTCACTGCTGTTGGCCGTGAGCGGGAATCGAACCCGGGTCGCCAGGTTCATAGCGCAGCGCGCTAACCGCTATGTTACCGCGGGCAGGGATAGACGGTGGCTGAGTGGGTTAGCGCACTGTGACACGTAGCCGGTGCCCCGAGTTTGTACGTGTGCATGCTGTGTTGGAGGTATGTACGTGTATGTATGCGAGTCTATGGGTCTCTGAGGCTGTGGGTGTCTGTGTGAGTCTATGGGTCTCTATCCGAGTCTGTGGGTCTCTATGGATGTGTAGAGGTGATACGCGCTGGGATTAGGGATCGTATGCACAGTGCGTGATGATTGGCTGTGTAGGTGGTGACGCGCGCTGACGGTGGAGGATCAGGGGTCAGCGCGGGGTCGTGGGTTACGGGGTACCGATTGGCTGTGGGCCGGTGATGCGCTGAGAGGGAGTGATCAGGTGGCAGCGCAGTGTGATTGGTGGAGTAATGTTAACACGCGCTGGGGAAAGCGGATCGTAGAGAGAGTGCGTCGTGATTGGTTCATTAAGGAACGACGCTCACGTCGACGCCGCATCAGCTCCGTCTCTCGTGAGCAGGGGCTATAAAAGGGGATGCACACAGGCGTAAGGGCAGTGTGTGTAACCAGCGAAGAATGAAGACGGGGATGAAGACCTAGAGCCCTGCGGTACCTAGCCCCGCTGTCCTAAGGGGACCGGGACTCTGTGTAACCCAGAGGCGAGTGTAGTGTGTGTAGCCATAGGTCTACACGAGCCGAATGTATTGTGTGTAGCCAGGGCATAGGGTCTACACGAGTCGAGTGTATTGTGTAGCCAGAGGCATAGGGCTTACACGAGTCGAGTGTAGTGTGTGTAGCCAGAGGCATAGGGTCTACACGAGTCAAGTGTATCGGGTGTAGCCAGAGGCCTAGAGTTTACATGAGATTAGTGGAGTGTGTCGTCGGAAGAAGGAAGACCACACGTTGTATTGTGACACGTAAAGATTTAATAAAAGTGTGTTACCCGTCAAGAAGTTCCTGCCGTCAATTCCCATACTTCAACTGGCGTCAGAAGTGAAACGGTCTTCCAAGCATGGATACAAGGAGGAGCCGTCGGACCCACGGGATTGACCACGGGGACAACCTCGACGACGCGGGCCAGCTGGCATCGGGGGGTGAGGAAGAGGAGTTGCCCACGGGGCAGGATCCGCCGACGGCGCCGGACGAGCGACGGGGGACTGACGCCGTGCTTCGCGAAGCGCTCTCCCGTCTGGCGGAGCTGCTGCTCGCCGCCGCGTCCATCCTGGCGGAGATCAGCTCGTCGGGAGGAGCGGGGACGGCGGCCGACGTTCTACAGGGTCGCCCTGCAGATTCCCGCCAAAACGATTTGGCGATTCCCGCCATTTCATCTGCACCGACTTTTGGCGGGAACGGCCATCACCACGTGGCAGCGGTTCTCCATGCGCGCCCGCTGACGTCACCAACGCGCGCGGCGGACCGCCATCACACACCCGCCGCTGGGGCCGCCATCTTACACACCGACGGGGCGGCAGAGAGGAAGCACGAGGAGGAGGACGACTTCATCTTTCAGCAGCGCCTTCCCACGTTGTCAGCATTCAAGGCGGAAGGCGGAGATTGGAGCCAATTTCAGCGCAGATTTTTGGCGCATCAAGAGATGTCCGCCTGGTCCGACGCTACGGCACTGCGGGCACTGCCTGCCATGCTGGACGACAACGCGCTCGCGGCCTTCACGTCCGCACGCAGGTCGGACCGCTCCACGCTCAAGGATGCGCTGGCTCTCATGGCAAAAGTCTACGGTCCTCCCTCGGCGTGCCGCCATCATTTCTACGCAAGACGGAAGGCGGACACGGAGACCGTGCTCGCCTACCGCACGGCGTTGCTCGCTCTCGCTGACGCCGCGTTCCCTCGTATGGACGAGGAGGGCCAAGATGCGATGGTTTTGGAGCAGCTGCTCAAGTTGGCGCAGGACCTGGGGGTCCCCATCAACACGGCCGACGAGACCGATATTTCTTCATTACGGGTCGCCACGAGCATGCAAGCGCACGAGGTCCTTCAACGAAAGCAGGGGGTCGTCTGCAACGCTGCCGTGGCCTCAACTCCGGGTCCGGTTGACACCGTGCCCCAAGTCGTCAGCCCACGAGAGGACGCGTTCATCGCGGGACGAGCGGGGGACTGGAGGTCGGGGGGTCGTTCGCCTCTGCGAGCGGCCCGCAAGCTGGAGCAACCGAGATCTCCGACTACTGTCATCACCTGCTATAACTGCGGCCTTCGTGGCCACGTGGCCTCCGGTTGCCGCGCCCCACATCAGCGCGCCATGGGACCTCGGCTGGACGACGACCAAGGCCCCAAGTCGTCCCTGCAAACCCCGGCAAGTCGCGGCACCTCACATGCTTGGCCCGCATACTCGACACATATGGGTCGTCGCGTCGCGGCGGGGGAGAGCCGAGTAGAGTTCGGGGATTCGGTTCGGCGAGGGGGGTTCGGCCGGGTCCGGGGAGACGTTAAATGGTCGGAGTTGGGGCACAGAATAGTGGCTGCCAGAGCGGGTTCATCCGTCGTTACGGGATCTATTGATGGGGTCGAGGTCAGGGTGTTAGTGGACACGGGGGCATCGGCGACTATTATATCGGATCTCATTTACAACATTCTCCCTGTACAATGTCGTCCGCTGCTTCCAGTGGATGTGCCATTTTACGCCGCTAATGGGGGATCGTTGGGCATTATCGGTCAGATTAGGGCGTCTATTTGCATTGGGGATATCAAATTGTCGGGACCCGTTTTCGTTTCGTCCTCCCTGGCGGTTCCTTGTCTATTGGGCACAGATTTTTTGGCAAAAATGCCCATCAAAATTCTCATTGATCAGCGTTGCATTGAACTACCATCGGGTCGCCGTATTTCATTTTTGACGAACCCTACTGAAATTCGGACGGCGTGCGCTACGATACAAGCGTTAGCAACACAGACCGTGCACGTGCCCCCGGGTTCACAAATGTTAATTCCCCTCCGGTTGCGGAAACCAGGGGAGAGGGAGACCTCGGATCAAGGCACGCTTTTGGGTCCTTCTAATAGGGCTGTTGGAGGTCTCGATTTGTCGGTGGCTCACACTTTGGTTGGGGCTGACAGGGATCCGGTTGTCAGGGGTTTAAACGCTGGGTCGCGGCCGGCCGTCATTCAGCAGGGCACCGTGCTAGCTCACGCGGCGCAGGTCCCTGCGGAAGAGCGGCTGGTTGCGCAGGCTGGTCCGAGCCCCACGCAAAACGTTAATCCGAAGGAGGACCTCGAATGGGTCGATTCGCTGTGCGCGCGACACACAAATGCTGATGCTCTGTCGCGATTGTTGCCTTGTCACAAATGTGCGTGCTTATCGGGATCGGCGCGCTGTAGACCGCCAGTTACGGAAGGCGAGGGGGCATTGGTTGCGACCGCGGGCACACCAATTGGGGATGGTCCCGCTACCCCAGGGGGTCACGACTCGCTGCTCTCACTGTCGCTGATTGAGTGGGGCCGTCTCCAAATGGCGGACAGCTCTCTGCTAGCATTGCGCCGAAGGACGGGGGGTTCCGAAGGCGACCATGAACGAACTGGCTCCTACGTACTTAAGCAAGGCCTGTTAATGAGATGGGACAGTTTGTCCCGGCGGCACGCGATTGTGGTGCCTTCTGCTGTGAAGGGGAAAATTGTCTTGGCCGCACACGAACGCCTCTTGCATTTGGGAGTTAGCAAAACGCTTGCCCTGCTTCAGCGTGACTATTATTGGCCGGGAATGGGGGGTGACGTGGTGATTATTCTGAAGGGTTGTGTTGAGTGCGCCAGACGGAAACCACCGCCCGTGGCAGCTAATCCACCGCTGCAATCCATCCAGGTCTCGCGCACTAACGAGCTCGTTGCACTCGATATTCTGGGGCCTTTTCCGGTCACGCCTAGGGGTAATAAGTACCTGTTGGTGGGGGTCGAATATTTTACCCGGTGGCCTATGGCGTGGCCACTCGCCAACCAGTCGGCGGCGGCTGTGACGGACGCCTTTGTCCAGGGCTACGTCCTGGACAAGGGGGCTCCCGAACGCTTGCTGACTGACCAAGGGAAAAATTTTTCGAGTAAATTACTGCAAGAGGTGTGCGACCTGTTGGGTACCAAGAAGGTGCGTACCTCCCCGTACCACCCGCAGACGGACGGGATGGTGGAGAGGCTTAACAGGACATTGACTTCTATGTTGTGCCAGCAGGTGTGTGGGGCACATGTTGATTGGGACCTGCAGGTCCCTGGGGTCCTCGCCGCGTATAGAGTGGCCCCCCATGCAGCTACGGGATTTTCCCCGTTTTATCTGATGTACGGTCGGGAAGCCGACCCGCCCATGGAAACGCAGCTGGGTCTGCCCGCACCACGAACTAATTCGAAATTGGCAGAGCATATTAAATTCAATATTCATAAGCTGACAGAGGCAAGGGAGGCCGCACGGCTTAATTCACGGGCACGGAAGGTGTCCGTGCACAATTGGGAACCAGGTGACAGGGCCTGGCTGCATTGCCCTCAGGCACCTTTGGCTACGTCACCTAAATTGTTGAAGCCGTGGCGGGGACCCGTGGAGGTCGTGCGGGTTGCACGCCCCCAGTGCGTTCAGATAAAATGGGGAAAACGCCGTTGGTACGTCCACCCCTCCCGACTGAAACCGTTCTCGCCTCCATATGGCCTCCCCTTGTGTCGTGAGGGCCGAGCATGTGACGTGACCGACGACCCTAAGGGGGAAAGGTCTTTGCTTGATCCTCACATGTCTCCGCCTGATCCGCTCCCAGGTGTCTCGGAACTGACAGCTGCCGACCACCGGCGGCCGGATCTTCGCGGCAGGGCCGGTCCTTCCAGGCCCGATCCGTGCCGTCTAGAGCTGCCGGAGACACCGGACGGTCGCCAGCGTCCCGTCCCATATGACGGACCGGCCAGACGGACTCGCGCTAGGTCGCGCTACTTTTTATGACCTACCACGTGAGGAGTCGAGGCAGCCGGAGCGCCTCGTCACTGCGTTTAGTCACAGAGACACTTGGCGCGTTCGTTTTCTCGTGTTCGCTTTTATTGTGTTGTTCGTCGGGCTGTATATTGCTTCATATTTAAGTGTTGTGTTGTGTTGTTGTTGTTGCGTTACGGGGCACACTGGGAGGTGGAGTTTCTTTATTACTGCGTTGCGTTATGTTGTGTTGTAGGTTAACAGCCGGGCCGGCTGCAAGCTATGTGGGAGGGGGTGATGTAGAGGTGATACGCGCTGGGATTAGGGATCGTATGCACAGTGCGTGATGATTGGCTGTGTAGGTGGTGACGTGCGCTGACGGTGGAGGATCAGGGGTCAGCGCGGGGTCGTGGGTTACGGGGTACCGATTGGCTGTGGGCCGGTGACGCGCTGAGAGGGAGTGATCAGGTGGCAGCGCAGTGTGATTGGTGGAGTAATGTTAACACGCGCTGGGGAAAGCGGATCGTAGAGAGAGTGCGTCGTGATTGGTTCATTAAGGAACGACGCTCACGTCGACGCCGCATCAGCTCCGTCTCTCGTGAGCAGGGGCTATAAAAGGGGATGCACACAGGCGTAAGGGCAGTGTGTGTAACCAGCGAAGAATGAAGACGGGGATGAAGACCTAGAGCCCTGCGGTACCTAGCCCCGCTGTCCTAAGGGGACCGGGACTCTGTGTAACCCAGAGGCGAGTGTAGTGTGTGTAGCCATAGGTCTACACGAGCCGAATGTATTGTGTGTAGCCAGGGCATAGGGTCTACACGAGTCGAGTGTATTGTGTAGCCAGAGGCATAGGGCTTACACGAGTCGAGTGTAGTGTGTGTAGCCAGAGGCATAGGGTCTACACGAGTTAAGTGTATCGGGTGTAGCCAGAGGCCTAGAGTTTACACGAGATTAGTGGAGTGTGTCGTCGGAAGAAGGAAGACCACACGTTGTATTGTGACACGTAAAGATTTAATAAAAGTGTGTTACCCGTCAAGAAGTTCCTGCCGTCAATTCCCATACTTCAGATGTATGGAGACTTTCTTTTGCACCGTTTGTAGCCAGAGAAAAATCCATGCGACCACAGGGAGAGGCTGTGCCTCCCCTTACTGTGCCAACTACACGACCACTCCCACACACACACACGCTCACGCGCGTGCACACACACACACACACGCACACGCTCGCGCGCGTGCGCACACACACACGCACACACGCGCTCACGACATTCGTGCGTGCGCACACACACACACGCATACACACGCTCGCGCGCGTGCGTGCACACACGCACACACACACACGCTCGCGCGCGTGCACACACACACGCTCACGCGCGCGCGTGCACACACACACACACACGCTCGCGCGCGTGCACACACACACGCACACGACACTCGCGCATGCACACACACACACACGCTCACACGTGCACACACACACACGCTCGCGCGTGCACACACACACACACGCTCACACGCGTGCGTGCACACACACACACACACGCACACGACACTCGCGCATGCACACACACACACGCTCACGACACTGGCGCCCACCTCCGAGCCACGATGTGGAAGCTCTCGACCTGCAAGCAGGCCGTGTTCTGCATCTTGGCCGCCTCGGACTCGCAGATCTGTCCGTCGGTGCGGCCGTAGAAGGCCGAGCTGACGGCGATGACGTAGCTGCCCAGGCAGCGCAGGTCGACGGGGCGACCCTCGCACGACAGCTCCCGCCGCACCGGGAACTCGGAGCCTGCGACGGACAGGACGGACGGGCGGAGGTGGACAAGGTCAAGAGGTCGTTATCGTGTGTGTATAGGTCAGTCTGTGTGTGTGTAGGTCTGTTTAGGTGTGTGTAGGTGTGTGTAGGTCTGTGTCAGAGGACGCAAACGGGTTTTGATTCCTTACCCGTACCCGGCCACACCAGGGTCGCAATCGGGTACCCGATACCCGTACCCGGCTGTACCCGTACCCGGCCGCACCAGGGTCGCAAACGGGTACCCGTTCCCTACCCGTACCCGGCCGGGTACGAGTAGGGTACGGGTACGGGTACCCAATTGCGACCTCTGGGATGAAGCCATGTTGCAGGCGCGGGTGGGTTGATTCTAGGAACTTGAATTGTGAGAAGAGACAAGACGTTGGGAAATGAGTGACAAACGGTGACTCACCAGTGACTCACGGCCTACCCGTACCCGGCCGCACCAGGGTCGCAAACGGGTACCCGTACCCGACCGGGTACGGGTAGCCGGGTATCGGGTAGGGTACGGGTATCGGGTACCCGGTTGCGACCTCTGGGACAAGGTCAAGAGGTCGTTATCGTCATCATCATCATTGTTATTATGATTGGCCGCTTACCCAAGCAAACGCCTCAGAGTCTCAAGGGTTATTGTCCAGGAGGGTCCTGCCAGGGTTTCACCGTAGTGGCCGATGTTGCTACCGCTGCTGCTGCTGCTGTGTGGTGGAATCCAATTTTTCAGTTTGTGTTTCGTTTGTTGTCCTTCCCCCACAACTCCGATGAGCACGGTGGGCTACGTACGGTGCCAAAGACGTTCAAAGTACGCACGTGCTTTGGAAACAACAACAACAACACACTCCATGCAGAAAGGTGCCCAAGTCTGGATTTGAACCCAGGCGCTGCTTGCTGTGATGCACAAGTGTCACCGCCAATGTGGGATTTCCAGGATGTCCAATTGGGATGAGCACCCAAACACCCCCATTGCAATCCAACAGTAGCAACGATTTCAACTTGTAGCGCTCTGCACGGCTATCGCTCGCCCTGCCAGAGAGAGAACGAGCTATACAGCTCTACGATGTGGCTTATCGTGTGGACATTTATAGCAGCCAAATACTCTAAAACGCACGTTGATTCAAAATGTCCAGCGAACACCCGGAGGACCTGGAGAAAAATCCACATGACCATGGGGGGAACAGGCAAACTCCAAATATACGGCAGGCATCAGGAGTCGGGATCGAACCCACGGCCTCCTGTAGACCAGGCGAGGTTGTTAACATCTCACCACGGAGAGAGAGAGAGACACGCAAACCCCAAATATACAGCAGCAGGTGTCCGGGTCGGGATCGAACCCACGACCTCCTGTGTACCAGGCGAGGTGGTCAACATCTCACCGCCACGGCGCCCCTCTCTTATGCACATCACTTCTCAATTCACTACATTGTTGTCTCGTCTCTATCAGTTTTTTTTTCTCATCTCACTCCGTCGCTATCTTTGCAGGAGGTTCATGGGTTCAATCCTGACCGTGATGCCTGCTGTAGACATGAAGTTTGCATGTCTCCCTCCCCGTGGTCGCGTTCGTTTTTCTCCGGGTCCTCCGGTTTATGTCTCGCGACGATGACGACGATGATGATGAAAGTATTTGGCCACTACTATAAATGTGCACGTGCCAATAAGCCACTTTGTGGAGCTATAACCTGTGATCACCAGGTCGCTTCTGACAAAGAGCTATAATATATAATAAAAATCTCAGTGGGCGCCTTAACTGGTTCAATAAACTATGGGAAACTCATTTGCCAGTAAAAATATGATAATTGGTTTTTTACCCTTCTATCTGGCAACAAAACTGACACCTTTTTACAAGGAGTCATGTTTGCATAGACCACAATACCTGCAGTCATAATGCAAACAAAAAACATAACTCTGATAATGTGCACTGTCCTTGAGGTTGATTGGTCCACACCCGAGACAGCTTTCCTTAGAGCCTAGTCTCACATGGGTTGGACCAGATGACGCCAAAAGTTTTTAAAACAAGACAGAGCCTCGTACTGGTTGCGCGAGGCCAACCGCTTGCGCCCAGCAGCAGCAGCAGCAGCTGCGCTTGAAGCAGTCTCCAGCTGGCCATCGTGAACCCACGCGCGATGTCGGCAGCAGGAGACGGAGGAGTCGGGCAGAGTGACCTCTGAACCGCTGACCTCTGACCCCTCCGGCGAGGACTTTCTCCAAGGCGTTGCTGGAGACGGTGAAGTCGTTTTAGTCTCAGTACTTGGTCAGGTGAATGCTGTGGTGGAGACGGAGAGAGTGTGGTCGTCATTAGTGTTACAGTGGACGTCACTGTTGCATCATCATCATCATCCATTACACCTGTCACGATGGTCCTGACTCCGATGAGCACTCCTTGGCTACATACGGTGCAAAATAAGTTCAGCAAACATGAGCACATGCATACCTACTCCGGTCTACTACCAGCGACAAAATAATTCCTTGAAAAATCAAGTCAGCCACGGGGGAGAAAGTCCAGGCATAAGTGGGTTATCGCGCCTTCAGGCGATGTAGAGACGGGCAAGAAACCAACTTGCTGTGAGGTCACTTGTGAAAAAGAGCCACAGACACTCAGTGGGCCCTGAGCTTGGTAATATAAAAGTGTAGTTGAGTTATATTCTTGGTTCTTTCGGTAAAGTCACGTCCATAGAAATGTTTAATTAAAAAGATAACAAATTGAAAATGATAAAAGCAAAAAACCCACAATGATGACCACGTGGAAACGTCGAGCATCCAAATAGTCTCCAAACGCGCGACGTTGATTCTATAAATGTGGAGAAAATTTCACGCGACCACGGAGAGAGACACCGCAAAACTCCAAACAGACAGTAGAAGCGTCAGGGTTGGGATAGAACCCACGACCTCCTGCGTACCAGGCGAGGTAGTTAACATCTCCTAGCCACCGTGATGATGATGATGATGAGAGAGACACGCAGACTCCAAATATACAGGTGTCAGGGTCGGGATCGAACCCACGACCTCCTGCGTACCAGGCGAAGTAGCTAACATCTCCTAGCCATCGTGGTGATGATGATGAGAGAGACACGCAAACTCCAAATATACAGCAGCAGGCGTCAGGGTCGGGATGGAACCCACGACCTCCTGCGTACCAGGCGAGGTAGTTAACATCTCCTAGCCACCGTGATGATGAGAGACACGCAAACTCCAAATATACAGCAGGCGTCAGGGTCGGGATCGCACCCACGACCTCCTGCGTACCAGGCGAGGTAGTTAACATCTCCTAGCCACCGTGATGATGATGATGAGAGACACGCAGACTCACGGCTGTCAATGTACTCAACAGGCTGCAGAGAGAGCACTGCTGTTGTGCACAGGAGCACTTCTCTGGCTCCGAAGTCTAAAGTTGCCTGCCTTTCTCCGGGCCGCATTGGCCAGCGACGTGGAGCGGGGGTCAAGCAAATCTCCCCTGGATTTGAAGTTTTCGTGACTGCAAGGATTCATACTCTTGGTTCTTTCGGTAAAGTCACGTAGGTAAAAAATGAAATTAAAATTAATTAGAATCCCTGCCTCACTTGATGCAGCAAATCTGGCTGTGACGGTCCCACCTGATGACGGAGACTTGTGTTGCGTCCGAAACGTCGTGATTTTATTATTTATTAATTTTAATTTAATTTTTTACCTACATGGTGACTTTACCGAAATAACTAAAAGTACAAATCTCCCCTCTCGAGGTCAGCCTCATCCAGCAGCGGGTCGGCGAAAGGCTTCGATGAAAACCCCTACGCGTCAATTAACTCGCGTCTATTCATAGTGGCGAGGTGGGGGGGGGGAAGATGCCCCGTGTAGCCTTGACAGACTGTAGGGGCAAGTGCTGTTAGCGAGTAGCAGCAGCAGCAGCTATGAAGGCCGTCACTGTAGCTTACAAAGACAAAGATGCCCCATGTAGCCTTGACAGACTGTAGGGGCAAGTGCTGTTAGCGAGTAGCAGCAGCAGCTATGAAGGCCGTCACTGTAGCTTACAAAGACAAAGACGCCCCGTGTAGCCTTGACACTGTAGGGGCAAGTGCTGTTAGCGAGTAGCAGCAGCAGCAGCTATGAAGGCCGCCTTTGTCTCCCCAGTAACCAGCCCGTGCTGTCAAGATACACACGAATATCCACATTCACCATACATCACTCACTCGCATTCATTATATTAACAAAACTAAAATAGTATTTTTTTTACCTACGTGACTTTGCCGCATTGATGAGCAATTAGATTTTGTTCGCTTGCAAAAATTAATCGTTAAAGAATTAATAAAAATCAATAATTAATTCTTTAACGATCAATGTTGGGAGCTTGGTGAGGAGGTTGTTTAGGCCTCAGCCTCGGCGCTCGCCTGGATCTCAGGCCCGGCTCGTTGGGCCGGAGTCGCTAGGCGAGGCCGTGGTCCCCCGACGTGAGGCGAGGCCTGGTGACTACCCATCATGTCTCGCCCTCTCACGTTCACATCGGTGCACTTGCAACGATTTGTTTATGTTACTCGTGGGCCTATAAGCTTTCATTGTGACGTTGCCGTGCTTTAAACATTGTTATTTACGTTTTAATAGCGGTTCACAGACGCGAATCATTGTACCGTACACACACGGACCACGCAGCTCCTCGCGCAGGCTGTAGTAGCAGCAGCAGCTATGAAGGCAAAGACAAAGACGCCCCGTGTAGCCTGTAGTAGCAGGCTGTAGGGGCAAGTGCTGCTAGCAGAGGGGTGGGTGACCAGCACCACGCCCGGCCGCCTTTGTCTCTCTTCAAATGGAAATGTTCATACAGTTTTCGATTTAAAGCTTTCGTGACTGCAGGGATTCATCTTCTTGGTTCTTTCGGTAAAGTCACGTAGAAGGGAAATAATAAAATAATAAAAATAAAACATAATAAATTCCAATTCTCACTAAAATACAATTCTCACTAAAAACAAAACATAAAATAAAATTTGTGAGAATTGTATTTTATTATGTTTTATTTTTATTATTTTATTATTTCCCTTCTACGTGACTTTACCGAAAGAACCGAGACGATGAATTTTCATACAGTCTGCTGCGTGTCTCTCTCTCTCATCATCATCACGGTGGCTAGGAGACGTTAACTACCTCGCCTGGTACGCAGGTCGTGGGTTCAATCCCAACCCTGAGTTTTGCGGTGTCTATATGCTCTTAGGTTTTTGTCGGTAAAGTCACGTAGGTAAAAATAAAAAAATATATATTTTTTTTATTATAAATAATACAAATAAATTATAATAAAAAATATTTATTATATAAAAAAGTAGTTTTGTTATATATTTTTATTATTTGTTTCTTTTTTATAATAAAAACTATTTTTATTATTTATTTTTATTATTTATTTTTCCTACGTGACTTTTACCGAAAAAACTGAAGAGTATGAATCATTGCAGTCACGAAAGCTTCAAATCTAGACTTTGCGGTGTCTCTCCGTGGTCGCGTGAAATTTCCTCCACATTTATAGAATCAACGTCGCGCGTTTGGAGACTATTTGGCTGGTCGACGTTTTTCAAAGTGGTCATAGTTGTGGGTTTTTTGCTTTTATTATAATTATATTTTATTATTTAAATTTTCTATGGACGTGCCTTTACCGAAAGAAATAAAATTAAATTAAAAAATCTAATTAAAATACAAAAATATTCATATCTATGTGACTTTACCGAAAGAAATAAAATTAAAATCTAATTAAAATTAAAAAATTAAATTAAAATACGAAAATATTCATATCTACGTGACTTTACCGAAATAAATAAAATTTAATAAAACATTTTAAATACAAAAATATTCATATCTACGTGACTTTACCGAAAGAACCAAGAATATAACTCAACCACACTTTTACATTACCAAGGTCAGGGCCCACTGAGTGTCTGTGGCTTTGTTTCAGAAGCGACCTCGCCACAAATGACGGCTCAACGAAGTGGCTTGTAACGTGGGAATGTGCAGCTGCAAAATACCATGAAACTGCACGTTGATTCCTAAATGTGACAACGCTGGAAACTCCACGTTCCCATGACGGGGTGGGCGAGGTAGGCGAGCAGACCGAGTCTCTCCACGGCAAGAAACATGTCGACTTTCCCACCAAGTTGTCCTCATTGTATTGACCCCCACCTCACCCCATCCACCCATCCACGATTGTCTTGGGTCATCGTGAACATCGCTACCTTACGGCAGTCGTGGGTGCCACGTGGGTCAATGGCTAATCCGGGCTCATCGTGTGTTCGGGTGCGGTGCCACATGTGCGGGGAGGTTTTGTCTGGGTGATGGGCCGGCCTTGTAAATAGTTGTACAGTGATCCCTCGTTGATCGCGGTTAATGGGGACCGGAACCCCTCGCGATAGGTGACAATCCGCGAAGTAGGATTGGCCCCCTAGGAATTTCCGTATATGTGTGTGGGTACCAGAATGTTTAAAATATGTATATTTATACTTTATATATATATTTTACTTAAATCTATTTAATTATAAAATCTTAATATTATACATTCACTCTCTCTCATACGATACGTATTATGGTGTTCTACACTCACCAATGACAGTAGTATCTTGAGACTTGACTCCAGTAATGACGATGACGACGATGACAATGACGATGACGACGATGACAGACCTGTGCAGTTCGATGAATGTGGTGATGATGATGGTGTTACTGCACAGGTATAATGAGGCCTTTAATTGACCCCGCTATGCTCTCTTGTTCGCCGTGTTCTGTATATTGTGTAAATACGTATTTCGCTTAGTTCGAGTTGTTATTGTTGCTGCGTTGATGTTGGAGGTCCACGTGTAGCGTCGTCGTATATACAGGTTGGTCTGCCGAGACGGCCGAGTTTCACAAAGGGAGGGTGGGGGTGATGTAGGGACGTAAATGGCGTCCCTGGGGTGTGACTATTGTGTGGTGACGCGCTCCCTCACCAGTGTAGAGGTGGTACGTACCGCGGTGTAGCGAGCCGTCACGTTGCGGTGTCTACATCACTGTCCGTGCGTGGGGTGTCTACATCGACGTCCGCATACAGCCCCGCCCCTCGGGGGCAGGGGGGTATATAGGGCGGTGCGCGAGAGAGCTCGGGGAGTCGTTGAAGCCAGTGAAGAATGAAGACGGAGCAAGCTGGATAGGACCCTAGACCCCTTGCCCCGACGCCCTTATCAGGGCCGGGACTCTGTGTGGCTCAGTGGTGAGACCCTGGGTACTCACGGCCTGACGTCCTTATCAGGGCCGGGTTTGATGGTCCGGTGGTTGGGACCCGTACCCTGGCTAGGTCGGGTCAGATAGCCTCCCCTAGGAAGTACTCAGCCGGAGGAGCTGAGAGCGTAGCCGGTGTCAGGCACGCGTAGCCGTAGGCTGTGTTCCTAGGCTGTATAGGGTGTTATAAATAAATACGTGTTGCCTCCGTCAACTCGTCTCCTGCATAATTTACACCTGCACTCGCCTGCCGATGGGACTCTAGGGGCCTGTCACGTTGGCTCGGGTGCCATCGGGAGAGTCAGGGGAAGTGACGTGGCAAGAGGCGGGGGGGGCCATGCTCGGGGAAGGGAACAAGGATGCGGGGCCTTGGGACAGTGTGGGACGGTGAGTGTGGGGCTCGCATGGTGCACGGCAGAGGTCGCAAACGGGTTTTGATTCCTTACCCGTACCCGGCCGCACCAGGGTCGCAAATGGGTACCCGTACCCGTACCCGGCCGGGTACGGGTACGGGTAGCCGTTCCCCAGCCGTACCCGTACCCTACCGGAAATGAGTGACAAACGGTGACTCACCAGTGACTCACGGCCTACCCGTACCCTACCCGAAATGAGTGACAAACGGTGACTCACCAGTGACTCACGGCCTACCCGTACCCTACGCGAAATGAGTGACAAACGGTGACTCACCAGTGACTCACGGCCTACCCGTACCCGTACCCTACCGGAAATGAGTGACAAACGGTGACTCACCAGTGACTCACGGCCTACCCGTACCCTACCCGAAATGAGTGACAAACGGTGACTCACCAGTGACTCACGGCCTACCCGTACCCTACGCGAAATGAGTGACAAACGGTGACTCACCAGTGACTCACGGCCTACCCGTACCCTACCCGAAATGAGTGACAAACGGTGACTCACCAGTGACTCACGGCCTACCCGTACCCGTACCCTACGCGAAATGAGTGACAAACGGTGACTCACCAGTGACTCACGGCCTACCCGTACCCGGCCGCACCAGGGTCGCAAACGGGTACCCGGCTACCCGTACCCGGCCTGGTACGGGTAGCTGGGTATTGGGTAGGGTACGGGTATCGGGTACCCGGTTGCGACCTCTGGTGCACGGTCACGCCGGTGGGAGCCGAGAGTGTTGAGGCTCCGGGCGTGAAGAATCGTCCCTCCCTCTCGTTGGGGTGTAGAATAGCCTTGCCGTAGCTGTTACTGTCAAGTAAATAAAGTGTGGTGCCTCCCATCCCAGCGTGTGCCTCGTCAGACACGCGTTACACAAGGGATCGGCTGACCGGGTGGTCAACGCCAACCACTCGCATCGGCACACTCGCAGGCCAATGGCAATTTCTGGATCGGACTGCAGAAGGTCGGAATCGCACCACTAGGAGCTGGCAACAAGCAACAGCGGTCGTGGTGGGTGGATGATTTTTATTATGAACGGGTGTTGATTTACCTTGCGTCAACTCCATCATCAACATCATTAACATCGTCGCTCTTTAACTCTGTGTCTCTATGTGGATATCTCCCTGTCTCTTTCCCCATGCCTCTCTCTATCTATCTTTCTGTGTGGCCATGTATCTCTCTGTCTCTCTCCCCATGTCTCTCTCTATCTTTCTGTGTGGCCATGTATCTCTCTGTCTCTCGGTGTCTCTGTGTCTCTCTGTGTCTCTCTCTGTCTCTCTCTGTCTCTCTGTGTGCATGTCTCTCTCTGTCTCTCTGTGTCTCTCTCTCTGTGTCTCTCTGTGTCTGTCTCTCTCTCTGTGTCTGTCTCTCTGTGTCTCTCTGTCTGTCTCTCTGTAGTTCTCCCCATCTCTTTCCCCATGTCTCTCCGTCTCCAACTCTCTCTGTGTTTCTCCGTGTCTCTCTCTGTCTCCTTGTCTGTGTCTATCTCGCTTTTGGGTTTGAGCAATCGATGTCCCGCAGAGGGCGGTGGAAATGATAAAACAATATTTTTTTACAATGAACATGAAGTAACTACATTTGAACATCCCGACATCGAGTTACAGTTTGTAAATTAATTCTCAAATGACGATTCTCGCGACGCGTCAGCACATGGCGCATACACGCACAATCGTCGTGTACGGCAAACGAATGACCAATCCTCTTCAAGTCAAAATATTTAAATATGATCGCCCGTGAAGAACCAACGGTGAACGAGCAGTTAGCGATGAACCCCCCGGCAACGTGGCTCAGTGGGAAAGGGGGCCAGGTTCAATCCCTGATTGGGGTCGTGACTCAGCCCATCATCATCATCATCACAACTAAAGTGAGGGAAGTGAACCTGCAGTGCACCACAGCCACCTCGCTCCGTTCCTCTCACACATCCCACCCTCTCTCCTTCATTTCTACCCCCCGCCTCCCCCGCTCACCCTTTCCTTTCATCACCCGATGTCCATCTCATTCTCTACCTCCATCCCTCTCCTGCCCTCCCTCTCCCTCACGGTTCCTAAACGGAACGATTCTCCCCCAAAATCTCAACAGACCCCTCTCCCTCCCCCTCTCCACCCCCTCTCCCTGTCCACCCCCTCTCCCTCCCTCCCCCTATCCACCCCCTCTCCCTCCCTCCCCCTCTCCCACTCTCCCTCCCTCCCTCCCCCTCTCCACCCCCTCTCCCTCACGGTTCCTAAACGGAATGATTCTCCCCCAAAATCTCAACAGACCCCTCTCCCTCCCTCCCTCTCCACCCCCTCTGCCTCCCTCTCCCTGTCCACCCCCTCTCCCACTCTCCCCCTCTCCACCCCCTCCCTCCCCCTCCCCTCCCTCCCCCCCTCTCCCACCCCCCTCCTCCCCCTCTCCACCCTCCCCCTCCCCGGCTGGCAATATCCTCCCCACAAGTCCGAGTGCCCCTCTCTCTCCCCGCCGGTCCCTTATGGGCACAACCCTTCCCGGCAGCCCCACGGCGCCCACGGCTTCGGCGATCCGCCGCAACCATCGTCTCTGCTCCGCCACCTCGGGCCGCCCCCCCTCCACGTCCCGCCGGCCGCCCTCTCTCGCCCTCCCCGCCGCTCGCCTCGTCGCCTCCATCGCCCTCCGCACCTCCCTGTCGAGCGACCTCTCGTTGTCCCTCGCGATCGCATCGTTTCTTGTCCGCCAGTCGCCGACCCTCCGATCGGCCCGCCTCGTTGTGCCCGCCTCTCTGGCCCACGCAGGCCTCCTGCCCGCCGCGAGCCTCTCTCTCCCCACCGCCACTCGTCCCGCCGTGGCATTCAGCGGCCTGCCGGGTCTCTCCGCGTCGGGCACCGCCATCTCCACGTCACTCCCGCTGGGCACCGTCCGGCTCACCGACCTCTGCACGGGAACCTCTCTCCGCCACTGGAGCCCGTCTGCGGTCAGCATCTCTCGGGCCTCCTCCCTGCCGCGTCCTCTCCTCGCTGCTCCTCCTGCTCCTCCCCTCACTCCCCTCTCCATGGCTCTTCTCTGGATGTCACAACCATCGCCATCATCATCAGAACACACAGATACACGCACACAGATACATACACACGCACACACACAGATACACGCACAGATACACGCACACACACAGATACACACACACAGATACACGCACACACACAGATACACACACACAGATACACGCACACACACAGATACACACACACAGATACACACACACAGATACACACACACAGATACACCCACACACACAGATACACACACACAGATACACGCACACACACAGATACACACACACAGATACACACACACAGATACACACACACAGATACACACAGCTGTATGTTAATTAAAAAGTCACTTTAATAAACACCCCACCCCACATCTCTCCCCCACATCTCTCACCTCTCCCCCATCTCCCCCCCATCTCCCCTCCATCTCTCACCTCTCTCCCCCATCTCCCCCTCATCCCTCCCCCCATCTCCCTCCCCATCTCCCCCCCCCCATCTCACTCACCCACCCACTTACTCACCCACACGCTCACTCACCCACTCACCCGCCCACTCACTCACTCATCCGCTCACCCACCCAATCACTCACCCACCCACTCACCCACCCACTCACTCACCCACCCACTCACTCACCCACTCACTCACTCACCCACTCACTCACCCACTCACTCACTCACTCACCCGCTCACTCACTCACCCACTCACTCCCCCACTCACTCACCCGGCCACTCACTCACTCACCCACTCACTCACCCACTCACTCACTCACCCACTCACTCCCCCACTCACTCACCCGGCCACTCACTCACTCACCCGCTCACCCACCCACTCACTCACCCACCCACTCACCCACACGCTCACTCACCCACTCACCCGCCCACTCGCCCACTCGCCCACTCACTCGCCCACTCGCCCACCCACACACTCACTCACCCACCCACTCACTCACCCACCCACTCACTCACCCACTCACTCACCCACCCACTCACTCACCCGCCCACTTACCCACACGCTCACTCCCCCGCTCACTCGCCCGCTCACTCGCCCGCCCACTCGCCCGCCCACTCGCCCACCCGCCCGCTCACCCGCCCACCCGCCCACTCACCCGCCCACCCGCCCGCTCACCCGCCCACCCGCCCACTCACCCGCCCACCCGCCCACTCACCCGCCCACCCACCCACCCACCCACTCACTCACCCGCTCACCCACCCACTCACCCACTCACTCACCCACTCACCCACTCACTCACCCACTCACTCACTCACTCACCCACCCACCCACCCACTCACCCACCCACTCACCCACCCACTCGCCCACCCACCCACTCACCCGCCCACCCACCCGCCCACCCGCCCACTCACCCGCCCACCCGCCCACTCACCCGCCCACCCACCCACCCACTCACCCGCTCACCCACCCACCCACTCACCCACTCACCCACCCACCCACTCACCCGCTCACTCACCAACCACCCCACTCACTCACCCACTCACCCACTCACCCACTCACTCACCCGCTCACCCACCCACCCACTCACCCACCCACCCACTCACCCCGCTCACCCACCCACCCGCTCACCCACCCACCCACCCACTCACCCACTCACCCGCCCACCCACCCACCCACTCACCCGCTCACCCACCCACCCACCCACTCACCCACCCACTCACCCGCTCACTCACCCACCCACCCACTCACTCACCCACTCACCCACTCACTCACCCACTCACCCGCTCACCCACCCACCCACCCACTCACCCACCCCACCACTCACCCGCTCACCCACCCACTCACCCACCTCACTCACCCACCCCACCCACTCACTCACCCACTCACCCACTCACTCACCCACTCACCCGCTCACTCACCCACCCACCCACCCACTCACCCACCCACCCACTCACCCGCTCACCCACCCACTCACCCACTCACTCACCCCACCCACTCACCCACTCACCACTCACCCACTCACTCACCCACTCACCCGCTCACCCACCCACCCACCCACTCACCCACCCACCCACTCACCCGCTCACCCACCCACTCACCCGCTCACCCACCCACTCACCCGCTCACTCACCCACCCACCCACTCACTCACCCACCCACCCACTCACTCACCCACCCACCCACCCACTCACTCACCCACCCACCCACCCACTCACTCACCCACCCACCCACCCACTCACCCACTCACCCGCTCACTCACCCACTCACTCGCTCACCCACCCACCCACCCACTCACTCACCCACCCACCCACCCACTCACCCACTCACCCGCTCATTCATCCACTCACCCACCCACCCACTCACCCACTCACCCACTCACCCGCTCACTCATCCACTCAGAAGACCAGAATCCACCGCGTCTTCCGGAAGACGCCTCCTGCCACTGAAACAACAACGGGCGGCAGAGACTTCGGGGAATTCCCAGCGACTCGTGAAGGAAATCGTGAGACGAGAAGAGAGAGACGATAGACCTCGCTGGGAGGTGTAACAACAGCAGCAGCAGAAACAACAACCACAACAACAACAGTCCCACGTGTGCACACACACGGACATCGACGCTTCGCTCAGCGTGAGTTTGGGCCTAGTGGGTCGCACACGTGGCTGTGTGTCTGTGTGTGTGGTGTGTGACTGTGTGTGTGGTGTGTGACTGTGTGTCTGTGTGTGTGGTGTGTGACTGTGTGTGTGGTGTGTGACTGTGTGTGGTGTGTGTGACTGTGTGTGTGACTGTGTGTGTGTCTGTGTGTGTGGTGTGTGACTGTGTGGTGTGGTGTGTGACTGTGTGTCTGTGTGTGGTGTGTGTCTGTGTGTGTGAGACAACATATCACTTGTCAACACACTTGTTGTTCTGGCATGAGGTATTCCAACGGCTGTAATGTAATTTTGGGGCGCTGCTGATTCCAAATCTGGCATCAGTTTTTGTCTATCACAGCAGGTTTTTGAGATATCAAATATTGCATTTTCGATAAAAACTGCGGAAGAGAAATATTACATATAAAATTATATTATCAACACACCATCCTAAAAATACAGCACCGTATTTTAACACTAAAGCAGTCACTGACTCGCAACAACTTGCAATCATAAGTGACAGAGTTAATTTCGGGTAAAATCAATGAAAACGGGGTATGCCGATAGCATAAAAATGAGATGTGATGGAGCAAATCTGAGATCAGATTTGGAATCGGCACCCTGAAATTAGTCTAGAACAGCTGCAAAAGTCCAGGCCAGAAAAAAATGTTTTTTTGTTGTTGACCAGTGTAATTAATGAATGTTCAAATATTACTCCTGTAATCTTAAAAAGAATCCTAAATTATTTTCGAAACAGAATTCATGCGTGCATTAACGTTAATGGAATTCAGTTTGAACATTTGTTAAAGTATATTAAATTACCCTTTGTGATTTATTAAATAAATATCACCCCGTATATTTCATTTTTAGGTGGTGATATTGACTGTTTATTTTTTGTAAACGTTTAGCAGGTTGAGTTATAAAGGGTAGCACTCAAAGCCTTACAGAAACCACGGAAACAATTATGGGAAAACAGAATATTTAAAGTGACTGAAACATATCTGTTTTACACCATTGGAACCGCATTTGCCAGTAAAAAATATGATAATTGTTTTTTTACCCTTCTATCTGGCAACAAACCTGCAACTTGTTTTACAAGGAGTCATGTTTGCATAGACCACAATACCTGCAGCCATAATGCAAACAAAAAACATAACTCTGATAATATAAAGGCGTCATCTGGTTGGACCAGATGACGCCTTTTGGCATTGGAACCTCATTTGCCAGTAAAAAAAAACAATTATATTTTTTACTGGCAAATGAGGTTCCAATGGTGTAAATACTTACCCCGAGCTCTCATACTCTGATGGTGCATTGTCTTTGAGTTGTACGCCTTTTGGTGTCGTTTGGTCCAACCCATGTGAGACTAGGCTCTAAGGAAAGCTGTCTCGGGTGTGGGCCAATCAACTTCAAGGACAGTGCATACATTATCAGAGTTGTGTTTTTTTGTTTGCATTATGACTGCAGGTATTGTGGTCTATGCAAACATGACTCCTTGTAAAAAAGGTGTCAGTTTTGTTGCCAGATAGAAGGGTAAAAAAACAATGATCATATCTGTTTTAATTACTTGTTTTCCATGTTTAGGAGTTCTCAAAGTGAAGAAAGGAGGCATGGCATTTTCCATCGACGACCTTTCAAAACGCATGTATCGCCTTGGCCGGTTTGTCAATTGCCCATCAAACTTAGAGCCACTGATACAGGACCTGGTCAAAGCTGGATTTTTCTACACTGGAAAGGAAGACAAGGTGGAATGCTTCTCGTGCAAAGGAGTGATCGGTAATTGGAAGTCAGGTGACTCGGCCATTGCAAAGCATTTCCAGAGTTTTCCAAATTGTACATTTGCTCGGTCGTTGGCACAAGCTACAGATGCTCAGACCTCCGCTGGAGCATCTGTACCAAGACATGTGGTGGCGGCTACCAACAACGCATCCGAAATCACCCATCATCACTCTCTGAACGAACCACCTCTGCAAAACTCTCCAACTTCCTTGCCACACGTGGAGGCAGGGGCACCATCGAATTCAGAGATGCGCGTCGAAGCAAACAGGCTGCTGTCATTCTCCACGTGGCCAGAGTCATCTCCTGTCCGGCCGGCGGACTTGGCACGGGCCGGACTGTACTACTTGGGTCCCAGCGACCGGGTGAGGTGCTTCTATTGCTGCGGCGTCATGTCTCACTGGGAGGAGGGAGATGTCCCTGTCAAGGAGCACCAGCGACATTTCTCCACCTGTGCTTTCGTGATGGGCTGCAGCGACACCGGTAACATCCCACTCGCTCAGGCCCAGGTGGGTGTTGCTAAATGGTCTTGTGGATGTCTTCTTCTTCTTGGTTCTTTCGGTAAAGTCACCACGTGGAAGGAAAATAATAAAAATTAAACATAATGAAATAATTCTCACGACGTTTCGGCCACAACGCAAGCAGCCGTCCTCAGGTGAAGAGCAGGTCTGTCGGGAAGACAGCGTCTGAATGAAACACCACCAGGCTTGGCAGCGTATATTTAAGCTGGGTTGGAGGGGGAAGAGCGCCTTGACAAAGGAATTTGCATATCAAGAGGAATTTAGCATATTTATGTGGATGCTTCTCAATTAATTAAAGATGTTTGCCTATAACCATATTCTCTGCGTTATAAGATGCACTATCTTTCCTGTACTTAAAAGCAATACGTTGAGGGTGCATTTTGTAATTAGGTATGTGGCCTTTATTTCTGCCATGGCCACTTGAATCATGTGTAACCAGATCTCAATACTTTTATTGGCACCGGGCACGGTCAATACCTTACTTTGCATTACCCAGCATGTCTTTTACATTTATCCTTCAAAATGACCACGACATTTGGGGCATGTCTTGCTTTGTGTTTATAGGCACCCTACTGATTTTTTATAACTCTTTTCCCAACACGTCAGTGAATATTGTGATAGCCATGCCTCCGTACCTTACAGAGGAGAGTGATAAAGGAATTTTTCCATACTATTTAGTGGGGTTTTTATAAGGGGATCACCCTGTACTTTGTTGAATCTAGATGACATTTCTAGATTTGAAGCTTTCGTGACTGCAAGGATTCATATTCTTGGGTTTTTTCGGTAAAGTCACGTAGGTAAAAAATAAAATAAAAATCACGACGTTTCGGAGGCAACACAAGCCTCCGTCTTCAGGTGGAACCGTCACAGCACGCTTGCTGTATCAAGTGAAAAAAAATAAAATTAAAACAGCTATCGTGCTGTGACGGTTCCACCTGAAGACGGAGGCTTGTGTTGCCTCCGAAACGTCGTGATTTTTATTTTAATTAAAAAATTTTACCTACGTGACTTTACCGAAAAAACCCAAGAATATAGATGACATTTCTTGACAAAAAGTACTGAACGTCAAGAAGAACGTTACATTTGATGAGTAATTCTGTTCTTTTTCGGGTGCTTTTCTAGCAGGCCTCATTTTTGCCGGACACTCAAAGCCGTGCGCGTTCTGCATCTCCTATGGCGAGGACGCGGGCCAGAAATCCAAAAATGCATTTGATGGTGGCCCGGCTTGCAACCTACCAGGCCTGGCCATCCACTGCCAATGTAGCTGCCCATTCACTCGCAATTGCTGGCTTCTATTACACCGGTATGGCAAGAGCATTCTCTGTGAGGTGTAAATGTGTGGTCCTAACCTTTTTTTTTAAACCAAAGGTCAAGACCCCCTTCCCTGCCAGCAAACAGCGCTACCCGCCGTAGCGACCCATTCCATGTTATTACATCACCCCCCCCCCCCCCTGTGAAAAAAACAGCCGTCCCGGCTGACCTCCACACCTCGCGTAGCAGGACAATGAACACAACAACAGCAGCAGCAACCATCGTCCCACTCGCGAGCTAATTAACAATAACAATTAATAACCGGAACGATAAAAAAATAATCGCGTACGCACGCCAATAACCCGGCCACCAAGAATATACAAAACGACCGTCAGCATGCCGCAGCCTGTGAACACGGGAAGGACCTCGGTTCAAGCGACAGCCACGGCCCGGCTCGCGTCTGCAACTACCCGCCAGACGGTGTTGGAGTAAACAGGACGACGGGAAGGGGTGGGTTATTTGAACCGAACAGTTTTGGAACGGGTCCTGGTCGCCGAGCCCCCAGGCGGGGCAAGAATGGGCTTCCTGGCAGAGGTCGCAACCGGGTACCCGATACCTGTACCCTACCCGATACCCGTACCCTACCCGATACCCGGCTACCCGTACCCGGCCAGGTACGGGTAGCCGTTTGCGACCCTGGTGCGGCCTGGTATGGGTACGGGTAGGCCGCGAGTCACTGGTGAGTCACCGTTTGTTACTCATTTCCCAACGTCTTGTCTCTTCTCACAATTAAAGTTCCTAGAATCAACCCACCCGTGCCTGCAACATGGCTTCATCCCAGAGGTCGCAATCGGGTACCCATCCTCGTATCCTCCCCGATACCCGGCCCGGGTACGGGTAGCCAGGTATCGGGTAGGGTAAGGGTACCCATTTGCGACCCTGGTGCGGCCGGGTACGGGTAAGGAATCAAAAGCAGTTTGCGACCTCTGCTTCCTGGGGATGACTATCAAATGGCCCAACGGGTGCTGCCCCTCCCGGGAAGAAGATGGAACGGGGAGGAGAAGAAGCGGGTGGCGGTCGTTCTGTCCTCTCTGGCTCGCCTGTGGACGGCGCCGCTGGCGGTCCCACGGCAGAGGTCGCAAACGGGTTTTGATTCCTTACCCATACCCGTACCCGGCCGCACCAGGGTCGCAAACGGGTACCCGTACCCGGCCGGGTACGGGTAGCCGGGTATCGGGTAGGGTACGGGTATCGGGTACCCGGTTGCGACCTCTGGTACAGCAATAACGTGTGCGTGTTCGTTAGGTGATGGAGACAATGTGAAGTGCTTCCACTGTGACGGTGGCTTACGCAGCTGGGAACGAGGAGACAACCCTTGGTATGAACATGGCAAGTGGTTTCCCAGGTAACGCACTCAGCACCTGCTGATGTCACCTGCTGTGCGGTGACGTCAGTACCAGATGGACACCATTGGAACCTCATTTGCCAGTAAAAAATATGATAATTGTTTTTTTTACCCTTCTATCTGACAACAAAACTGACATCTTTAAAAAAAAACAATTATATTTTGCTACTGGCAAATGAGGTTCCAAAGGTGTAAATGCTTACCCCGAGCTCTCATACTCTGTCTTTGAGTTGTGCGCCTTTTGGTGTCATCTGGTCCAACCCATGTGAGACTAGGCTCTAAGGAAAGCTGTCTCGGGTGTGGACCAATCAACTTCAAGGACAGTGCGTACATTATCAGAGTTGTGTTTTTTTTTGCATTATGACTGCAGGTATTGTGGTCTATGCAAACATGACTCCTTGTAGAAAAGGTGTCAGTTTTGTTGCCAGATAGAAGGGTAAAAAAACATACTCGAGCAACACGATGGCTGTCAGAGCTGACAAGGGGCTTGAAGTGAACACACTTTGATGTTGAATCGCAAATGACGACTGCTTTGCTGACATCTCTGCTATGTTCTCTACAGATGTGCATTTCTTTTACAACAGAAGGGTGAAGCTTTCGTTAATGAAATAATGATGCAGCATCCACGGTTGTCAGAACTTATGGTAATGTACACTTGTTTTGTTGAGTATTATATAATGTACTTACATTAAAAACACAGTTCCCGTTGGCCTTAAATGTAGTAAAAATGCATTTGTCTGAGCCAACTTTCGTTTCTTGTAGTTGATGTAGATTTATGTTTATACGGTATTTAAAAAAAATTTTTAGGTGATTGGGTTTGCTCTGAATTCTGTTTGTTATTTTGAAGCTTTTGGTGTGTCATTGTTTTGCGCTGATTTCAATGTATTCATTCTGTTCTGATTTCTATTGGCTTCGATGTATGTCATTTACGCGATTGCTTTTGTCATTTTGGTGACCTAGGCCAATGAGTTCTCAGCTGTTAAACAAAATAGACTAAAGTTAAACTAAGCAGTACCTTTAGTAAAACTTCCCTCCCTTTATTACTGCTAATCCTTCATAATACACTACGAGCATAATATGACTTTGAGACCCCCTACCGCCTACACATTCCACAAGGAGTGACTCACCCCATATCTGCATTTGTCATCAACATGCTAAATTCGCCTGTTGATATGTAAACTCCTTTGTCAAGGCGCTCTCCTCCTCCCACCCAGCTTAAATACGCTGCCAAGCTTAGCAGTGTTCATTAGGACGCTGTCTTTCCGACAGCTGTTCTTCACCTGAGGACGGCTGCTTGCATTGTGGCCGAAACGCCGTGATAATGTTATTGTTTTATTTTTATTATTTTATTATTTCCCTTGTACGTGACTTTACCGAAAGAACCAAGAATATTAAACTAAGCATGTGTAACGGGTTCCGGAGACACTTGTAGAGGTAACTTCTTTATTACAATACAACACTCCAACCTTTCAACTCTCCAACAGTCCTGATACTCTGTTACAGCCTAGGTACACAGCCTAGCTACACAGCCTAGATACTCTACTCTGGCTACGCTCTGGAAGGTCGTAGAACCAGGAGTTCCAGAGTCCCACCACTGGCTCTCACAGCATCCCAGGGTCTTCCGATGGCTGGTCGTGGGTCTTGGGTCTTGAGTTACAACTGGGCCCCGATCGTCCAGGGAGCTCTCCTTTTATGCCTAGTCCAACGAGGGGTGGGGCCGTGTGCGCCACCAGACATCCCACAGAGCACACACAGCCCCCCCCCCCGTTGGCGGCGCCCAGGGGATTAAGCGCCTGGGAACTCAACGCCTGGCGCCCAGAGGCTTAAGCGTCTGGACCCCCTGGGAACCCAGCGCCTGGCGCCCAGAGGCTTAAGCGTCTGGACTCGCCTGGGATCCCAGAGCCCCCAGCAGCCCCTCCCTTCTTATGTCACTACACATGCAACAGAAATGCTGTAAATCACTCAGTGTAAGAATATACAATATTTGGTTGGTTACCAATATGCTTCATTGTAAATAGAGCCGAGAATAACGGGCAAAGTTGTGATTTTTACTTTTAGAAAGCATGGCTTGTACCATTTATATATATTTTTATTTGTGTAACACCAGTGATCCAAATGCTTTTAATTGACAAGATCCTGCTTTTTTAGGATGAGGTATTCAGACAGAGATCACAGAATGCAGCAGCACAATATGTGAATGGTAAGGTGATATATTTTTGTACACAACAGGATTGTCATGTTTTTATATTCATTTGTGCCAAAATGTGTACATCTGTGCATCTCACAAGGCTATCCTTACAACACATTTGAACTCTTTATCCAAAGTGCACGTTTAATGTTTGGTCGTTTTTTTTAAATCCGCTAATTGCATGTTTTTGCAAGCGTCGTCTTTGCGTGCAGGCATCGGCTGCGCTGATGAGACCTTGATGAAGAGCGATGTGGTCAAGGGTGTGCTTGAGATGGGCTTCCTTGCACCGGTGGTGGAATCTCTGGTGCGCACTCGCTACCTCACTAAGGGGGAGACGTACAGCTCTGTCGTTGAGCTCGTCAAAGACCTGCTTAATGCAGAAGAAGAATCCCCGAAGAAATCCGCAAATTACGTTCAGGGTACATACTCAGCAACAGAAACTGAACTTGCAATTTCCATTTGCCTGTAATTTTGTTGCTGATTAAATTGAGGAAAATACGGATAGTCATTGTGTGGTACACATCATAGCAGGCGAACGGGTGTCGTGTTTTTGATTGATCAGATAGGTATGTCAAGGCATAATTGTATTATAGATAACACTGGTCAACAACAACAAAAAAAAATTCTGGCCTGGACTTTTGCAGCTGTTCTAGACTAATTCCAGGGTGCTGATTCCAAATCTGATCTCAAATTTGCTCCATCACATCTCATTTTTATGTTATCGGCATACCCCATTTTCATTGATTATACCCGAAATTAACTCTGTCACTTATGATTGCAAGTTGTTGCGAGTCAGTGACTGTTTTAGTGTTAAAATATGGTGCTGTATTTTTAGGATAGTGTGTTGATAATATCATTTTATGTAGATATCCACATCTATTTAATATTTTTCTTCTGCAGTTTTCATTGAAAATGCAATATTTTATATCTCAAAAACCTGACGTGATAGACACAAACTGATGCCAGATTTGGAATCAGCAGCGCCCCAAAATTACATTACAGCCGTTGGAATACCTTATGCCAGAAAAAGTGTGTTGACCAGTGTAATATACCATACTGAAAACCAGTACTCGGCTCAGCTTTATGCGAACATGGTTGTGATTGCCTATGTTGAACGTGCCGTGTGGATGTATCTTCAACAGAACAACAGAAGCCTGCTGCTGCTGAGAAAAAGGAACTAAAAAATGAAGAATGTAAATATTCCATTCCAGAAATTATACAAATACATTCTTTGGTTCTTTCGGTAAAGTCACGTTTAAAGATAAAATAATAAATTGAATAATAGCATAATGCGACGTTTCGATTGCAACACAAGCAATCATCATTAGGTATAAAAGAAATAGCAACACAAATCTCAAGAATTGTTCTCTCTCTGTGTATCTTTGTGATATCTGGCTGCTTATATGTCTGTCTATAGTTTTCTGGTTAGATTTTATGTCGCTATTTCTTTTATACCTGATGATGATTGCTTGTGTTGCAATCGAAACGTCGTAGTATGCTATTATTTAATTTATTATTTTATCCTTATACGTGACTTTACCGAAAGAACCAAAGAATAATTCCTGCAGTCACGAAAGCTCCAAAATTAAGATTATACAAATACATTTATGATGGTTATGTAATTAATCTCGAGAATTGATTTACCAACAATGTAGCCCTGTCATTGGATCGTCGGTATTATTCCAAGTTACTTTACAGTTGCTATTAGTCGTCGTCATTAATATGCACGTAGGCTCTTAATGATCAACCATCGTTTGTGAAAAGCTGAAAGTGTGCGTACTTGTGTGCTCTCCGTGGTAGCGCTGCTGCTGGAACAGGAGCTCAAGCGGCTACAGGAACAGCACACGTGCAAGGTGTGCATGGACAAGGACGTGTCCGTTGTGTTCGTGCCGTGCGGGCATCTCGTCGTGTGTCAGGACTGCGCCGTCTCTCTGGGCAAGTGCCCCATCTGCCGCGCGGTTGTCAGAGGGACAATTCGTACGTTTATGTCGTAGGCAGATGGGCAAGTAAAACAATATATACATGGAGACTGTCTCTATGCAATTTATGAATGAAGTGTATTTACATACCTTATCATTTATTACATAATAAAAAAATAAGAAAAATTATAACAATTAAATAGTACAATTCTCACGACGTTTCGGCCACAACGCAAGCAGCCGTCCTCAGGTGAAGAACAGGTCTGTCGGAAAGACAGCGTCTGAATGAACACCACCAAGCTTGGCAGCAATATATACGCTGCCAAGCTTGGTGGTGTTCATTCAGACGCTGCAGCGTTGTGGCCGAAACGTCGTGAGAATTGTATTATTTTTTTAAATGTAATAAATGATAAGGTATGTTAATACACTTTATTCATAAAAGCATATATATAACGTCGTGAGCATTGTATTTTATTATGTTTTATTTTATTTTTATTATTTCCCTTCTACGTGACTTTACCGAAAGAACCAAGAAGATGAATCCCTGCAGTCACGAAAGCTTTAAATCGAAAAGGTTTCTAAGGTAATTTTGGGGTGCTGATTCCAAATCTGGCATCAGTTTTTGTCTATCACGTGAGGTTTTTGAGATATCAAATATTGCATTTTCAATAAAAACTGCGGAAGAAAAATATTAAATAAATGTGGATATCTACATAAAATGATATTATCAACACACTCTGCTAAAAATACAGCACCATATTTTAACACTAAAGCAGTCACTGACTCGCAACAACTTGCAATCATAAGTGACAGAGTTAACTTCGGGTAAAATCAATGAAAATGGGGTATGCCGATAGCATAAAATGAGATGTGATGGAGCAAATCTGAGATCAGATTTGGAATCGGCAAATTAGTCTAGAACAGCTGCAAAAGTCCAGGCCAGAAAACAAAGTTTGTTTTGTTGTTGACCAGTGTTACTTAACCAAGCCATGGCTGCTTGAGATATATTGCTGCAAATACGTAAATACGGACGATCAAATTGGCCACCCCCAAAGAACAAATTAGAATGTACACCGTAACCCAAGCTATCAAACCATGGGTTGCTGTATCATTTGATATTTCTAGAATTTAGGAGACGCAGATTCCGAATCTCAGGAAGAGTTTATGGTGCATATGCCATTGCTTTGAGGTGCAATTGATATTGTTGGTTTGTTTAAAAATTGTCCATTGACTTTTCCCCCCTTTCATGACAAATTCTGCACCACGTAATCAGACGGTCAACCCACGCGAAGACAAAATAATGTTGCAGCTGTAAGTAGCAAATACGAACGGTTACGAGCGACGAAAACCACTTCGGTTAACCGTCATAATTCTAAACAGTCGTAATGTTTATTTGTAAAAAATATATAAAAATACAACGAAACTTTTTTTCCCCTAAAATAAAACTCTAAACTAGTGGGTCACTAGTGTAACAAGCAGGCCACGTGACCTCGTGCAAATTGCATTTGTGTTTGCACTGTGGGACAAACCAAATACTCACAAGAAATTTCACGTAAATAAAATATTTTACAAAAACAACTATTTGAACAAACCCCCGTGGCCAAAACTTTGACATTATTTCACGTCTCCCAACCAGCACAGACTTGTTTGCACTGTAGCACCCATCCAAATAAACCCTGAAATGCAAAAACATTTGTACAAATTACTTTTTTTTTCAAACTTTAACGATCACAGCAGAGATTTTCAAAAATGTTCAAGCCATTTTCTCCAATGTTAATAATAGCCAACGTATTCATGCTAAATGCTAAACATTATTACTCTTTTGCAAGCAGAACGATACACAACCCGATACAGCATGTTGTCAACCTACAATTGCATTGGCGATTATTGCTCACGAAGCGCTGTTGAGGACACACGTGTAAATGCGTCGGTTACGTAACATCAGCAGTGACGAATGGAAACGCGATGACGGTGACGACGATGGGAATCTACCGATCGTATCAACGATTACAATCCTGACGGCGAGGATGATGATGATGATGATCATGGATCAATGATCCTCACCGTCCCCGGGGCAAAACCTGGGCTGGACACGGCAGCTGCCGGAGTGTCGGGCAGTCCTGCCCATGGGGGTCAGTGGGGGGGCAACTCTTGTTCACACCGAGGCAAAAGTCAATTACACATCAGAGCCCATCCATCAGCTCATTCCAGGCAGGCAGTGACGTCGCATTCCTAGCGAAGGGTCCCCTCGTTGAAGCTCGCTCCGTCGCTCCTTGAATTGAGGCTTGGGGGGGAGCTTGGACGAGTGGCGAGATGAGCGACAAGAGGCCTTAGGGAGTGGTCCACACCATTGTGGCTCCTCCAATAGAAAAACAATGTCCGCTGGTTCAACCGTGACGTATCAAAGTTCACAACGGTTGACACTTGTACATGTGCCAGAGGTCGCAAGCGGGTTTTGATTCCTTAACAGAAATCAAAGTGTCACCATTGTCAAATACACACTTGACGGTTCTCATCGCAATCGAAGGACCTCGAGGGCGGAAATTACACATTTATTGGCAGGCACCGGTCTCTGCATAGGATGCCTATTCTATTTAGGATGTATAGCAAGGTTGGCTACGTACTGTGCGAAAGAAGTTCAATATACACACATGAGGATTATAATAATCATACGAGAATAACGTGAATAATTTTGTCCGGAATAGCCTCCTTGAGTCTCAAGATATTTGTGTTGAGAATACTGCATTGGGATGCTGCGATGACATTAACAAGTGCCTGGAGAAGCTTCCTGACCCTCACGTTTCACGGTCGTCCCTTCTTCACGCTTCACCGTCACTCCCGGCCACGTGGCGAAGTCGTCGTAGTCTTCCTGTTCTTGTTTTATGAGAGATGATGGGCTCATGGCAGCTGAACTTTGACCTTCACGAGTCGATTTCACACTCTCCTTGTGGATCTTCTCATGCATCGTTCGGCTTCCTGACCAAATAAAACCCTTCCCACACTCTGTGCACGTGAATGGCTTCTCGCCTGTGTGTGTTCTCTTGTGAATTTGAAGGTAGTTTGAAGAGGCAAATGCCTTCCCACACACAGTGCACTTGAAGGGCTTCTCACCTGTGTGTGTTCTCTGATGAATTTTAAGATTTTGTGAGGAAGAAAATGCCTTCACACACACGGTGCACTTGAATGGCTTTTCGCCCGTGTGAGTTCTCAGGTGCTGATTCATGTTTCCAGTGTGATCCGTGGTGTACGGACACCGGTCACATTTGTGCCTTTTAGCGCCGGGCTCTGTCCAGGGTTTCTTCTCCATGCGACTGATTCTGCAGACATATTACATGTGACACGCAACGCACACACACACGACAGAGACAAGGATCCCCCGTGTAGCCTTAATAGACTGTTGGGGCAAGTGCTGTTCGCGAGTAGCAGCGCCTATGAAGGCACGAGAGGGTGGGTGGCCAGCACCACACCTTTGTCTCTTTAGTGGCGATGCTTACAGATCACACCAGCTACTAATTTTAGTCTAAGTCGACCTAGGGGAGGCCCAGGAACGGTTCACATCGTCACCAGTGTTGGCCATGTGGTGCGGGAATCAAACGGTCCACGGAGTTGGTGGCAGAGTGCGTCAACCGCTGTGCCACCGATCCCCCACGTGACACTCGCACGCAAGCGGAGACGCAGTGATGCACTCACGCTCTACAGAGGGTACAGCAGACAATCAACAGCAGAGGTCGCAACCGGGTACCCGATACCCATACCTTACCCGATACCCGGCTACCCGTACCCGGCCGGATACGGGTAGACCGTGAGTCACTGGTGAGTCACCGTTTGTCACTCATTTCCCAACGTCTTGTCTCTTCTCACAATTCAAGTTCCTAGAATCAACCCACCCGCGCCTGCAACATGGCTTCATCCCAGAGGTCGCAATCAGGTACCCGTACCCGATACCCGGCCGGATACGGGTAGCCGGGTATCGGGTAGGGTACGGGTACCCGTTTGCGACCCTGGTGCGGCCGGGTTACGGGTAGGCCGTGAGTCACTGGTGAGTAGCCGTTTGTCACTCATTTCGGGTAGGGTACGGGTAGGGAACGGGTACCCATTTGCGACCCTGGTGCGGCCGGGTACGGGTATGGGTAGACCGTGAGTCACTGGTGAGTAACCGTTTGTCACTCATTTCGGGTACGGTATGGGTACGGGTAGGGAACGGCTACCCATTTGCGACCCTGGTGCGGCCGGGTATGGGTACGGGTAGACCGTGAGTCACTGGTGAGTCACCGTTTGTCACTCATTTCGGGTAAGGTACGGGTGGGGAACGGCTACCCGTACCCAGCCGTCACTGCAGGTCACGTGACACTGCAGTGTCACGTGACCTGCAGTGACTGCATTAACCACAATGCTTGTGGTCAGAATGCAAACAAAAAACACACTCTGAATATTTCTGCATTGTCCTTGAAACTGATTGGTCCACGCCAGAGACGGCTTTCTTTTGAGCCCCGTCTCTAATTGGTGCTAGACCAGAGGACGCCAAAAGGCGCACAGCTCAGAGACAAAGCCACCATCTTGCATTGTGGGCAATGCACACCACGTGATTCCTTGTTAAAAGGTTTCAGTTTTGTTGGCAGAAAAAAGTGGAAAAAACCCTTTTATAATAGAAGTCCCCTGGGTCGGGGCAGGAGTGTGCTGGCAGTCTATAATGTAGACTGTAGCCTGGTTATTAAGCTGGGTGAGTGTACTGGCAGTCTATAATGTAGACTGTAGTCTGGTTTTACAATTTGGTGAGTGTACTGGCAGTCTATAGTGTAGACTGTAGCCTGGTTATTAAGCTGGGTGAGTGTTCTGGCAGTCTATAATGTAGACTGTAGCCTGGTTTTAAAATTTGGTGAGTGTACTGGCAGTCTATAGTGTAGACTGTAGCCTGGTTATTAAGCTGGGGGAGTGTTCTGGCAGTCTATAATGTAGACTGTAGCCTGGTTTTAAAATTTGGTGAGTGTACTGGCAGTCTATAGTGTAGACTGTAGCCTGGTTATTAAGCTGGGTGAGTGTACTGGCAGTCTATAATGTAGACTGTAGCCTGGTTA